ATATTTTTCTGATAAGCTACCCTAGCTCTCTTTTAGTTACTATTTGTATTAAATATATATATTTCCATCCTTTCACTTTCAAGCTCTTTGTGTCTTTGGGTCTTAAGTTGAGTCTTATAGACAGCATATAGATGAATCCATGTTTTGATCCATTCCACCAAGTTCTGCCTTTATATTGGACAATTTACTCCACATACATTTTAAAATAATTACCAATTCAAAAGGAATTATTTCTGCCATTTGGCTGTATGTTTTCTGTATGTCCTATGTGTTATTTTCCCTCCATTACTGGCTTATTTTGTATTTGATATTTTTGTGTGTAGTGCACCATTTTTATTCCTTTTTGTTCTGTAATTTAAAATAATTTTCTTAGTGGTTACCTTGAGAATTACAATTAGCATACTTAAACTTATAACAACCCTGTTTGAATAATATCAATTTAGTTTCAATAGTATACTCTACTCCTATTCTTTTATATAATTATCATCACAGATTGTACTTGTTTGTATACAGTGTGCCCATAAACATATGTTTATCGTCATTATTTTATCATTGTCTTTTATATATTCTAGGAGAACAAGGGGGAGTTAGAAACCAAAAATACAATTTTACTGGTTTTCACATTTACTTATGTAGTTGTTGTTACCAATGTGCTTTGTTTCTTCACATGGCTTTGAGTTATTGTCTAGGGTCCTCTCATTTCAGTTTATTTTTTTAATGTTTATGTTTGAGAGAGAGAGAGAGCACGAGCAAGGGAGGGGCAGAGAGAGAGAGGGATACAGAGGATCCAAAGCAAATTCCGTGCTGACAGCAGAGAACCCAATATGGGGCTCAAATTCAGGAACTGTGAGATCATGACCTGAGCCAAAGTAGGGCACTTAACTGATCAAGGTACCCAGATGCCCCTCATTTTAGTTTAAAGTACTCCCTTTAGCATTGCTTGTAGACAGATCTATTAGTAACAAACTCCTTTAGTTTTTGTTAACTTGGGAATGTCTTAATTCCACTTTTACTCCTGAAGGATACTTTTGCCAAATATAGAAATCTTGGTTGACAGGTTTTTTGTTTTTGTTTTTGTTTTTGTTTTCCTCTCAATACTTTGAATGTGTTATCCCACTGCCTTCTGGTCTCCGTGGCTTATGAGAAACAAGCTGTTATTGAGGATTCCATGTACATAGTAAGTCATTTCTTTCTTAGTAATCTTAAGATTCTTTGGTTTTGGCTTTTGACAATTTGACTATAATGTGTCTCAGTGTGGCTTTCTTTGAGTTTATTCTGCTTGTGATTCTTTGAGCTTCTTGGATGTGTAGATTAAGGAATTTCATTATATTTGGGAAGTTTTCAGCCATTATTTCTTCAAGTATTCTTCCTTTTCCTTCAGGAATTCCCATAATGCATATGTTGGCCTAAATGATAGTGTCCCAAAGATCCCATAGACTCTGTCCACTTTTGTTCTTTTTCTTTCTTATTTCAACTCCTAAGACAGGAAACTTCTTACTGGCCTATCTTCTAGTTCACTGATTTTTTTCTTCTGCCTGCTCAAATTTGTTTTGAACCCCTCTAGTGAATATTTCAATTCAGTTATTGCATTTTTCAGCTCTGGGATTCCTAGTTGGTTTATTGTTAGTTTCTCTTTATTCATATTCTCATTTTGTTCATACATTATTTTTCTGATTTCCTGATTTCCTTTAGTTTTTGTCCCATTGTTTCCTTTAACTCTTTGAGCATATTAAGACAGTGATTTAAAGTCTTTATCCAGTTAAGTCCAATGTCTGGGCTTCCTCAGGGATAGTTTCTGTCAACTTTTTTTCCTGTGAATGGACCATATTTTCTATTCTCTGATTTTTTTGTTGCTGTTATTGAAAATTGGACATTCAATTATTACAGTGTGGTAACTCTGGAAATCAGATATTCCCTTTTCCCCAGGGTTTGCTTTTGATCGGTGAAGACTTGGTTTGTGTTAAGCCAATGTTTTAACTAAGACTTCCTTGAAAGTCAGGAGTTGAAAAACAACAACAAACCACTTCTCCAAGTCTTTGTAGATTGACTCTGTGCTGCAGCATTTCAAACACTTAGCCAGGCCTTTTACAATTCTGTCTCAGCCTTAACTTCCTGTTTGTACTGAGCCTACCTATCAGCCAGTAGTGAAAACACAGGTTCTCTCAAATATTTTCCAAATATGTATCCCCAGTATGCATTACTGCTTTTGAATGCCCCAATTTCCCCAGGAAAATCCCCCTCCCCAGCTTTTCCTCCCTGGCTTTAGGTGCTCCATTGTATGTCTCAAACATAATCTTTGGCCTCAGACAGCAGTGGGGTTTTTGATCACCATGCAGTGTTATTCTTTTAATGTGCATTTATTTTTGAGAGAGAGACAGAGAGCATAAGCAGGGAAGGGGCAGAGAGAGAGAGAGGGGACAGAGGATCCCAAATGGACGCTGTATTGATTGCAGAAAGCCCAGGGTGGATCTCGAACTCATGAACTGTGAGATCACGACCTGAACAGAATTGGACGCTTAACCAACTAAGCCACCCAGGTGCCCACCATACAGTGTTTTTAATCAATGCCCAACACCTTTCTTCCCTGAGTTGTCTCCAGGTTTGGTGAAATAGAGATGAGTGCCTTGTGTTATCCTTCAGGTAGCCTCTAGATAGGTTAGAACAGAAAAACACACAGTAATTTGCAAATGGTATCTGTTCTATTCTCTCTGGAGCCAGAGACAAGGGTTACACACCAGGAATAGGCTGTGATCTTCAAGACTGTCACCATGCTGGGGAAGTGTAGGGTACATTAAAATGTCACAAAACGATATCATTTTTAAGTTGGCTTTTTGTTGATTCAGCACACACCTGGCTGTAAACCTTTGGTGTTTTCCAGAGTTCTGATAAAGTTGGTTCTGACAGCTTCTGGTTGTTTATTCCTGCGGAAGGATGGGAGCTTGGAGCCGCCTGCGTCACCATCTTGCTGACATCACTCCAATGGAGCCCTCTTGACCTGCCCCTGCTCTAAGGGCCACGCTTACTCTTAACTCAGATGCCTTCTTCCCAACAGGACCAGAACAGAACTCATATTTTCTTCCAACCTACTTCTCTCTTCTGGGTTCTTTGTCTGGAAATGGTTAGGTCATTTCCTCAGTTACTCAGGCCAGGAAGCTTTTATTTTTCCCACTTATTTGGTAGAGTGGTAGTCAGTCATCAAGTCTTGATGACTTCTAACAATTCTCCTATCATTCCCCTTATCACCAACTCACCATTTCTACCTTAGTTCGGGTTGCTGTAATCTTTCATGTTATTTCAATGCCTCCTGCCTGGAGAGCCTGCATCTCATTTTCCCTCTCCATCTCCTCCATGGAGCACTTACCCCTATGTGCTTACCCCCTAAGAACCGTAGAACACATGTTAATTTTCTATCTCCTTCTTTTAGAGTTCTAGAGTTTCAGGACAAGAACTGTGTACATTCAGTCTTGCAACAACGTCTGGCATATAGCAAGAGCTGCATAACTTATTCTTGAATGTCTAAAACAGGCCAACAATACCTTAAGGTGATATGATAGAGTATAGTAGATATGGTATCGTAGACATAGTAAGACAGAAACAAGCAATGTGTCTTTATACATAAGCATCAAGTGTATGCATATATGATAGTTTCGAAACTTTAAAAACTGAATTCTTGGGATGGGCTCAGTCAGTTAAGCATGGACTCTTGGTTTCGGCTCAGGTCATGAATTTGCAGTTTGTGACTTTGAGCCTCGCGTCTGGCTCTTCACTAACAGTGCAGAGCCTGCTTGGGATACTCTCTCTCCCCCTTTCTCTTTGCCCCTCCCCCACTCACTCTCTCTGTCTCTCTCTCAAAATAAGTAAACTTAAAATTAAAAAAAATAAATAAAAAAGCAACAACACTGAATTCTCTTTCTTGCTTCCTTACCTCTGATTTTGAAAATCCTCCTTATTTCTCAAGACTGATTTCATTCCTTACCTTCTCCAACGCCTAACCATCAAACATACACCTGTCAATTCAGCACTTAATTATACACTAATTTGAAATCCTCTATATTATTCATAATGCTCCCCTCATCAAAAAAGGAGGGATATGCAGATGTTAGCATAGATCTACACCAGATTGCTAACATCTATCCCCACGTAGTCATCCATCAGTGACATGTTTAATAATGTACTGTCCCATAGTGATTATAATCAGATGTTGTTTCTGTGAGTTTTGTCTCCCCATTAGATTTGCCCTTTCCTGAAGGTAACAACCTTCACTCAGCCATTTTTTTTTTTTTGTATCAACCAAGAACCTACAGTTCAAGCAGACACACAATACATATTTTCCCAACATAAATGTTTATGGGTTGTACACTCATGCCTCGGTCTGTAATTGAGTGAGACATATGGAATGAGACTCCCTTTGCCCAAATTTATTTTTATTTTATGCATCTAATATTTTCATACAATGTACTTATACCTGGAGAAATATAGCCTAAATGACAATATTAAGGGAAAAAGGTACTCTTCTCTCCCCAAGGAACCTGGCTGGGTGTGGATGGGGTTCTCCACTTCACACTGCTTGCTCATTATGTTCTGGATACTAACTCTCAGTTTGGGTCATCCAAGGGGGGACAACCCTCGACATGTGAAGAGGCCATATACAGTCCTATTCCAGTCAGCAGTCAGAGCCACACAAGTGTATGCGAGCCCGCTTTAAAAATAAAGAAGGAAAGTAGGTTTTATGGGAAAAGTCACTTAACTTAGGCTCTGTCTCCCACATGGCCCAGGACAGAAAAGTTTTCAAGCTTCCTATCAACAGCTAAGCAAACTCAATCCATATACATATTATGTAGCTTCAAGGCTGTTATGGAATAGCACAGTGTGTCTGGCAAGAAATAAAGTTTGATTCAGACATATGGGAAAAGTTCTGGTCCTTCTGGGACAGTCTCGTCCTGGGCTCAATCACAGTAACAAGCAAAGAAAAGAAAACAATCATTTAAAAGGTACCGTACTTTAGTTTCCCTCAGGGTTCTCGGGAACCAACACTTCAAACATTTGATTGATGGTCTCCATTGCTTCATGGATATTAGATGATCCATGGACAGCATTTTTCAAAACACTTGTTCCAAACTGGGCTCGGATAGAATCTGGGGACAGTAGTTTTGCTTCATCTGGGTCTACAGGACCCATCAATCGTCTCCAGTCTGAAACAGCATTCCACTTGGTCAGAATCATGACCAAAGACAGACCTCTGCAAAGAAGAATGCTTTCAGAAGATTTTGGCTATTTACACCTGTAGAGATTGCATACACAGCTAAACACAGAATGCCACACTTGGTCTTTATTCTTTGTCCTTGTCAGTGTGATTTTGTGGGGTTTTTTTTAAGTTGTTTTAATGTTAATTTGTTTTTGAGAGAGAGAGAGAGAGAGAGAGAGAGCACATATTAGTGGGGGAAGGGGCAGAGAGAGAGGAGACAAAGAATCCCAAGCAGGCTCCACACTGTCAGCACGAAACCCAGTTGATCTCACAACACAGGGCTTGATCTCACGAACCATGAGATCATGACCTGAGCCCAAATCAAGAGTCAGACGTTTAACCGACTGAGCCACCCAGGCGCCCCTTGTACTTTCTGTTTTTCCATTTCTCCCCCTTCCAACAGGTTTTTGTGCTGCATGAGTGCTATAGGTTAAGTCTAGAGATATATGTCAGACACTGTTCCAAGTATGTCCAATGTACTAATTATATAACCCTCACAACACACCTATGAGATGGATGCTATTATTATCCCCATTTTATAGATAAGGCAATCAAGGCACAGATTAAATATGTTGGCAAAACAGAAACTTAAAACCAGAAATTGAAACCCATATCACCTCTATATAATGTTGAAGACCTACAGAAATAGAGGAAGAAAGGAAGGAAGGAAGGAAAGAAGGAAGGAAGAAAAGAAGGAAAGAAAGAAGGAAAGAAGGATGGGTAAGGAGAAGGGAAGGAAGGAAAGAGAGAAGAAGATAGAGAAAGAAGAAAACAAAGAAGAATGAACTCCAAATATTAACAGGGTGTCTTTGAATGAATGAAATTAGATGGAATGTTTTCATTACATTTTGTATTTTTCAGTTTCTATAATGAATATTTACTACTTTTATCGTGCAAAGGACTATATATCAGAAACTTACTCAGATAACACTTCCAATACATCTTTATAAAAGTCTTTTCTTTTTATTTTTGAGTACATTTTGTCTGCTGCTTCTTCATTTAGGAGCATTTCCTTCATCTGTGTGATTTCAAATCCAGCCTCTTTAATATATTTCAAGATCTCCTCTAGGGAAAAGAGATATTTGGTAATCTTGCAGAATGCCTCCACTTTTGTTCCATGTTCAAGTAGACTGAAATAACTATGGAAAGTAATCAATTTACTTGCATAGTGTGGCTTAAAAAGCAAAAACTATGCAAAATGAAATTGAACTGAAAAGCACCATGTTAATACATTAATGCAGATGTTCAATCTCTGAGGTGCACCTTTCCAGGATGCACTGACAACATCTCATAGACTATAAGGAGAGGGGAAGGGATGTGCCTCTGTGCCGAAAGTGAAGTCATGTTTTCACGTCCATGCTACAAATGTCAAGGAACTCCTTGCTAGATATGGATTGAAGCAGGGAGCCGATCTGAACTCTTCTCTCTGAAGTAGCAAGGCATCATGGAGGGAATTGAATAAAGTAAATCTTGTCAAAATCTCACCAGCCGCCTAACCTTTAAGGGCTACATTTAGTGAGCCAACTGAGGGATTGGGCGCTTTCTGGTAAAACAGTCTTTTCTTTGGTCCAACACTTAGAAGTGTTGTGCTGGTTGCTAAAGGTCAAGTTGGGCATGACCAATAGAAAGACTGAAGAAGGCTGGACTTCTATAAGGGGGGTCACCAGGATCTGCCCTAGGTGGGGGGCACTGTGGGAACAAATGTGAATGGAACATTAACACTTCTTCTAGATATTGTCTGCTTAGAGGGCCTGGCCTGGAAACACAGCTTGTAAAGAAAGAGCAATATATAAAGGCTCCTGCAACCACAGACAAGTAAACCATTAACTCTCTCTGGGAAGGTCAGAGATGACTTCCAGAAAGGCCAATCTTTGTGTTAAGTACAGAAACGGTAAGAGATGATCACCAAGCAGACAAGTAGAGAAAGAACATTGTAGGCACAGTGCAGAATTTCAAAAAAATAACGTTAATGACAACACTATGCATTAACATTTATGAGAGGGGCGCCTGGGTGGCTCAGTCAGTTAAACGTCTGACTTCGGCTCAGGTCATGATCTCACAGTTCTTGAGTTCAAGACCTGCGTTGGGCTCTGTGCTGACAGCTTCATAAAAAATGTGTCTCCTTCACTCTCTGCCCCTCCCTGGCTTTCTCTCTCTCTCTCTCTCTCTGTCTCTCAAAAATAAATAAACATTAAAAATTTTTTTAATAAAATAAAATCTATGGGATAATCAGAAGATTAAACCAGTAATCAAGGAAAACATATAACTTCAAAATTTTACATTGACAAAAATAAGATAATGAAAATAAATGAATTAAAGATCTAATTTAAAAAGCTAGAAGAACATTTTTTAAAACTACTAGAGAATCAAAGGAAGGTGAAAATTAAAAAAAAAAAACAACAACAACAACAGAAAGTAATGAGTTAGAAAAAGAGAACTAACTCCTAAATAAATCAAATTCTATTTGTTTGAGAGACAACAAACTAAGAAATGACAGGGTAGAAATAACCATTGAAACCAGGCCCAGAAATTTTCACGGGAAAGATTTCATGGGAAATCTTCAAATAGCAATCCCACTGCTGCTTAAACTCCTCCAGAGTGCCGAAGACAAAGACATTCACATTTTTTATGAAGTATTACATTGTTATTTAACCTTCCACAAAAAAAATGAAAAGGACGGACCAATATCATTGTCAGTCTCAATGTGAAAAATTCCAAATAAAATATATGCAACTAGAATCCAAAAGCACATTTAAAAAATACCTCACGATTAAGTGTAATTTATACAGGAATGGAAGAATGACTTGATATTAGAAATATCATTAATATGATCTTTCGTGGTAATATATCTATGGAGAAAAACATCGTCATCTCCATCAACTCTAAAAGGACTTGAACAAAATTCGTCATCATTTTGATTATGAGGGAGACAGAAAGAAGGATGAGGGAAGGAGGGAGACAGAACAAATATGACAAGAGCTAATTGTTACATCGAGATCAAGGGATATGGGTGTTCATTGCATAGTTTGAAAATTTTCACAAAATTTGAAGGGGATGTATACATTGACTTTCATTTCCAAATATTTACCTCTTTGTTCCTGTGTTACATGAGGTTTAATCAGTGCTAAAGTCTGTTGAGGAGGAAAGAAATATTGTATTTCCTTTTCAGCAGTTTCTAACGAATCACTTCCATACAGCTGGTTGATAGGCAAACCTTCCACTGCAAATTGCACGCATAAGCTTTGAAAATGAAGTCAAGAACTATTAGAGCATCACATAACACAGTATAAGCCAACACAACAGAACACTATTTATATGAATTGTTCAAAAGTTATCAAGCAACTCATTCCTGATCTAGACATTATGTGAAAGGCAATAGTGACAGAGTGGCTTGGAGCATACTACTTCCTTATAAGGAGGTAACAGTCATCAGGAAGACAGAGCATGAACATTTAAATAACCACGATGTGAATATTCACAGCTGACTCTGAAAGAACGAACGGATGCCTTGGTGCGGTGAAAATGCAGACTGTACAATCCCGGTTGCACTACTCGCTAGCTATGTGTCATTGAGCAATTACTTAACCTCTCTGTGCTTGAACCGTCCCAAATACAAATAATAAAACTGTTCTGGAAGGAGATTTTTGAGGGTGGAATCAGATGATACATTTGAAACATATGGTGCCTATTAAGCTCTCCATATTCATTTCCCTTCTGTCATCACTAAATATTATTGAGCTCTAGAGATGGTATTTGACTCTATAACGTGGATCCCGAATCACAAACACTGAATCCAAAAGATACCGCAATGGAACCGTCCAGCAGAGCAAGTACGGTGATAAAAGAGGAGCATACAGGATGGGTTCATGTAAAGAGGCAAGAGTGAGGTTGATGGTACTGGGTATGTTGGGTTAGGCAGTTTAGTCTGGATCTGCTTCCTCTACCATAGAGGAATACATACACTTCCTAAATCAATTGTTGCTCCTTGATGTTTTTTTCAGTTGCCCTTTTTCCTGTCTCTTTATCTATATATGGTTCAGTAGAGGATACACACACTGCTTATTTCATTCTCTGCCCTTTACACATAGTCCTGAATTGCCAACCCACAAAATCCAGCCACAGCGAATAATGTCCTTTCCTGTTAATGACCTGACTTTACTGGTCATTGGCTTTCGGTCCTCAGACCCTCTTCTTGCCTCTCTGCTTTTACTGATGCATTCAGATTTCCTTTTTGCCTTATCCGACTTGAACATCCCACTTGATCCTTGGCGGTTCTCTCACCTCTGATTTGAAGATGTTTGCAACCCAAGACCCTTGGAGCCTGGGATTCCAGGGTTAGGGGATTTGCACAATGAATGTATAAGGTGTCACCTAACATATCACCAGCACTTACTCTGTTCACTGCAGAGAACAACCAGCCCCTCCGTGGTGCCGTTAGACATGATTATTGAGAAAAGTGTGTGTGAAGGGGAGGATAGGACAGAGGGAGTAGGTGATGAGTGTGAGGGTTGCTGTGTTTCTCCTTTATGCAAGTGACCTTATTTCAGATTAAGCCAGGCAGTGCTGAATCTGACCCAAGTGCAGGAAAGGGCAGAGCTCTGCTGAGTTATTCTAACAGCAACCTGAAGGAACTGGGTGGAGCCACGGAAACTGGGAAAGGAGGAACCAAAGATAACAGTCAAGATTAGCTGTGAACTTGTAGCAACATAGGGAGCATAAGGGCTTTGGTTGGAATCCTCACAATAATAGTGGGGTAGGGAGGAACAGTTACTGAGCGCCTGCCTTCACCGGGAGAATGCACCTCCGTGCTGGTGCACTACCTTCACACTTGAAAGTGTAATTTCTAGAACAGTATGGCTAGAAGTGTAGGCCTTGTGTTGATAGGAATTCCTGTCTCGAATGCTATACCTTGCCTTTCATGCTACGTTTCATTAAGTGATTCTATGGCATTCTGCTCATACTACTTATAGACTGTCTAACCCTATTATCCTTTATGGTAATTGTAGGGCTAAATAAGGGGTAAAATGTGTCCATGCAGAACAAGTCAGATTCCAGATATCCTACCCAAAAGAAAACATTTCAACGGTTACATGTGATGCTTCATTAGTACTGTTATTTATTATACCAACACGTATGGCAAGTTTTCTGTATCTGATAGAGCATCTCTGTTCTTGCTCACTTGAAGGATGGGCCTTTCCTCTCCTGAATTGATTCCTACCAAGGCCAAGAGATGGGTACACCACTTACTTCCCATTCCCACACCAGGCATCCCAAAACCTTCATCTGCAAAGCCTTGGCTCTATTTGAGCTGCCATTGGGCTGGGCCTCCAGTCACAATCAGGGAAAGTAGTTTTTCGAGAGCCTCTCTTGGACTGGAGCTGTGGCTCTTGTACCCGCATCCAAAATAAAATTAAAGTGTCTCCCATGAAAAAAGTTTGGGACCCACGGTATGAATCCTACCTCTCTGGAAGAGATGTCTTGGCTTTTTCAACACTGCTGGGCCCAATTAACTCTTTCCAGTGTTGTAAACAATTGTCTCTCAATAAAACAAGGGCTAGAGATGGACCACTGTTAAAAGGAAAAAAAAGCTGTATATTATGGCTCAGTAGCTAAATATGTATAGATAATACAAGTCGAGATAATTCTTTTACCAAGACTAAGACTAATTTCCATTGGTGTACTCCCAAGAGTATATTGAGCACCTTATACAAGTATGGAAGCAGACTAGGGAAGGGAAGAGAAGGACCTTGGTTCTGATAGATAGGTTCCTATATAGTATTCCCATATTCCTGCTGATTCATGTACCCTTGCTGGATTTCTGTCCCAGCTGCTATTTCACTTACCCTTCCAGAAACCTGACAGATTTCTAGCATCTTATTCTCCTTGGACTAATGATCGCTAGGACTACCAAAACCCTCGAGAGTCAGTGAGTTCTCTACTTGGACATGATGTCACACACCATAGATTTCTGGCACTCGACTCAGCGGATTCCAGTGACTTTACCTGGGCCTTTCCATTGCTCCAGTAGCATTCCAGGGGGACGAGAGCAGATGAGACAGTTGAGCAGAGACTTGAGGTGGGGGTGAGACTGGCAAAGAAGGAGACTCAGCACATGGTTACAGAACTGAGAGGTGTGGCAGCTTGACCAGGGCAGGTTCAGAAGAAGATTTAAATGATTCAAAACTCAACCAAACGAACCACAAGAGACTCTTAAAGACAGAGAACAAACTGAGGGTTGATGGAGGGACGTGGGTGGGGAATGGGCCAGATGGGTGACGGGTACTAAGGAGGGCACTTGTTGGGATGAGCACTGGGTATTGTACGGAAGTGATGAATCACTGAATTCTACTCTGAAACCAAAATCGCACTGTATGTCAACGAACTAGAATTTAAATGGATAAATAAGACTAAATCAGATTGCACCTTCTAAACCTGAAATCTACTTTACCTGGTCATTTTTTTTATAAGATTTTCAAAATAATCTTCATTTTCATATTCCTTGCACAGTGTTTGTGCTTCTTCTTCTGACAATACGATTGGTCTCTGCATCAGTATTTTAAAGCCTTCATCATGGATGATACCTAAAACATTCTCTAAATAAAAAGTCACATGATAAGTGTTAAACTGATGGGTTGCTGGCTATCCATACCAGACTGAATGTATTATTATGAAGGCATATAATGCCTCTCATCCTCATATGAAATTTAGAAGTTGGCAAAAATAGCTTCTCAGATTTTAAGGTGAACAGCATTGTTAAGGTGAACGTACCAAATTATGATTTATGACGCTGTGTCTGATTTTTCATCACACAGGAATCACACACATGCATACACACAAGCAGAGGTGTCTCACTAGTAAACCTTTTCCTTAGGTGCACATACGAGCATGTGTGTGGGTATAGACAGTAACCAAAATAACAAGTTAACACAATTACAGAAGTATGTGTAAACAGTTTATATCTTCGCTAGCCCTATTTTACTTGTCCCACTTGGGGAGAAACACAATGATTGGAAACCCAAAAGTATTTCTCAGTCTCCTCCTTCTCTGGAGCACGTCCCACTGTGCTAGTCTAGAAAATGCAATATTCAACTTCTCCAACCTCCCTTATGGACAGGTGGCGATGCTGCCCAGATCTGGTCAATGATACACAAAGGACCTGGACTGGGGCTGCTTCTGAGAGAGGTACCCGGGGGGACGGCTTCCCTGCCCTACACCACCTTCTGTCCTGTCTAAGGCATTTCAGCGACATGAGGCCTGGAGCTGTGAGGCCATCTTGTAACAAAGAAGGCAAAACCCAAAACACAAATGCTGACTCGGGGCCCGGACAGCACTGGGCCCCGCTCAAAGCCAAAAATGCAACCTAGCTGAAAATGCATCCTCTCCCCTGTTGGGCATGGAATAGAGTTAATGGACTCAGCCTAAGCAAACCATTGTCAGGAAAGAGTAAAACAAACAAGAAAACATACAAGTTAATAGAGTTTAAGCAATAATTTGCTTCAGAACGAGCTCACAGACAAGAGGAGGAAAATACAGAATGTTTACATAGTTCTTGGATTTTAAAAGGTAGAATCCTGGGGTGCCTGGGTGGCTCAGTGGGTTAAGTATCAGCTCAGGTCATGATCTCACGGTTCGTGGGTTCAAGTCCCATGTCCAGCTCTGGGCTGATAGCTCAGAGCCTGGAGCCTGCTTCAGATTCTGTGTCTCCCTCCCTGCCCCTGTCCCCTTTCCTCCTCCCTGCTTCCCTTTCCCTCCTCCTCCTTCCCTCCTCCCCAGTCCCCCCCCCCCACAAGCTCATACTCTCTCTCAAAAATAAACATTAAAAAAAATATTTTTTAAGGAGGAATCCTTAGAGGAGACTGAAATAATTTGTAAGGTTTTTGCATTGCTGAATTAAAAAAACAAAAACAAAAACAAAAAACGTTTTCTCATATGAGGGTACCTAGTGGCCAACAGTTTAAAAGTGACAGCAAATCCTCAAACAGTTTGCATAGGATGGCTTCTTGTCATGGCTTATGAGAAAAGCTGAGGAAAAATATTTAGGGAAAGCAAAGCTCCATAAAGTTAAAGAAACTAGACTCAATGAGCCTCTCCTTAGTTGGCACTCTCTCAGATGGGTGATCACAAGAATTACAACACAACACAGAGGGGCCTCAGTTTCCAATGATTAAAGCAAAAAGCATGGGGAGTACCACTATTTGCAAGATGGTATTGCGTTTCCTTGACCTCATTACTCGAGGATTCGGTTCTGCTTCAAATTCCAATGTAGACAAATATGATAGATATCATAATAAATATTTTATTTTGTTGCATAGTGTCCATGAGGCTTTTCAGACGTCACCTCAAGTAATTCAGTGATGCCACATTCAGTGGCAGGTGTGGGGATGCAGAGAACTCCTAGACAAAGCACCTAGCAATTGTATGGTTGCTTCGTGGAATAACCTCATCCATAAAAATCATACTTCAAAGCCTAGAGCACTTTGCTATCTTCTATCTCCTCTATCACAGACAAATCGCTAAGTCAGGTGGTTAGTAACCAAATAAATATGGAAAAACCAGTTCATTCTTTTTTAAAAAATATTTATTTATTTATTTTGAGAAAGAGAGAGAGAGAGAGAGAGAGAGAGAGAGAGAGAGGCAGAGAGGGAGGGAGAGAAAATCCCAAGCAGGCTCCATGCTAACAGCGCAGAGCATGACATGGGGTTTGAACCTATCAACCATTAGATCATGACCTGAGCCAAATAAGAGTCAGACATTGAACCGACTGAGCCACCCAGGTACCCCAAAACCAGTTCATTCTTTTCTTTTTTTTAATGTTTTATTTTTGAGAGAAACAAAGAGTGAGAGCGAGGGAGGGGCAGAGAAAGAGGGAGACACAGAATCCGAGGCAGGCTCCAGGTTCTGAGCTGTCAGCACAGAGCCCAATGTGGGGCTCGAACTCTTGAACCGTGAGATCATGACCTGAGCCAAAGTCGGAGGCTTAACTGATTGAGCCACCCAGGTGCTCCATGACCAATTCATTCTGATATAGCTACAAAATCTTGGAAATTTTTGAGTAATGAGGGAAAATTCCACAAGTATCTAAGTGAAACAAACAAAACATAACAAAAACTGAATTATCTGCAAAGAAACAAAAACCAGGCTGAAAACAGACTTTCCTCCTCAATGCAAAAAGTCTATAGGTTTGGGGATGGGGGATTTATTTCTTAAAAATATACAGTCAGGTAAGTTTCCTTTATACACAAAGGTAACAAAAGATATTCTAAAATATGCCAGCGTTCAGAAAACGAAAGAAGTACATATCTTTTTCAAAAACGTGTTTAAATATATATGCTTCAGGTGTGGGGTGCCTGGGTGGCTCAGTCGGTTAGGCGTCCGGCTTCAGCTCAGGTCATGATCTCACGGTTTGTGAGTTCAAGCCCCACGTCTGGCTCTGCACTGACAGCTCAGAGCCTGGAGCCTGCTTTGGATTCTGTGTCACCCTCTCTCTCTGCCCCTCCCCACTCACGCTGTCTCTCTCTCACTCTCTCTCTCTCAAAAATAAACATTAAAAAATTAAAACATAAATATATATATATATATATATATATATATATATATATATACACACACTTCAGGTAACAGAAAATATAACTAAGTGATTAAAAAGTGGGAAATTAATAGATCTAAGGACTGTGGGAACAGGAAAACCAATTTATATAAGAAAAATTCTAAACATACCCGTTGTAAACCTGACCATAAACAAGATATAAATTGCAAAATATTATCAAAAGATAAGATATGCATCGTAAAAGTAACATCACCACCACCATCGGTATACTAAAACTTCAAACAACAGTCACAAAAATTAAGACCACAGATATTATAACTGGGGTGGGGTTGAGCATGGAGAGAGGAATAAAACTCTGCTACACTCCATCTTGTGGGATGGAGACTTGGGAGGATATCCCCATTTTAGGAGGCTTCTTCATTTTGATTTTGCTTTTTCCCTCTCCTGGACCTACTAGAAGGCAAGCCCCAGCTGTGAAATGTACTGTGAAGGGAGCGGAGGCCCTGCAAGCACCTAAAACTGAGAGCAAGTCCTTCCCTCTGACCAGTGAGACTGGGAAGAGGGGCCTCTGTGGACTGAACAGTGTGGGAAAAACCCTGTTACTTTTTTTCTCACCCCCACTTTTTTCTCACATTTAGGAGGCAGTCCTAAACGTGGGCTGTGCCCAATCGCACAGGGAGGCTAAAACCCCAGATATCCATCCAGAGGACAAAGAACAGAGGCTTATGAGATACAGCCAGAGATGGTGGGGACTGGGGGGGAAAGCGACTGACTAAACCTGTGTTTGAAGTAGTGGACTGACCCCCCCCCAAGCAATGACTATGGTTGGGCTGATAAGTGGCAACTTAGTGGCTTGAGAATTGAACTTCAGTATCGAGCATCACCTAGGTTTCCGAGTGAGCTCTAAGCTGTGAAGTCCAGAATAGCATACAAAAACTTTGAAAATGCAACTGACATTGGAAACAACCCATAGAAAGTGGGATGGGACATGTGGTCTTAACCTGACCAACTGACTTCTGAAACAAACAAGAAGTCAACATTCTCTAGAAGACTTTAACACGATTCATCAGTCTCATAACAATACTCAAGTGACCAAGAAGTAAAATACAATACAAAATTATGCAACCTATAAAGAACTAAGCAAATCTTGGGGCACCTGGGTGGCTCAGGCAGTTGAGCCTCCGACTCTGGACTTCAGCTCAGGCCATGATCTCATGGTTCGTGGGTTCGAGCCTCACATCAGGCTCTGAGCTGGCAGTGTGGAGCCTGCCTGAGATTCTCTCTCTCCCTCTCCCTCTGCCCCGTCCCCTGTGTCTCTTTCAAAGTAAATAAATAAAAACTTAAAAAAAAAAAAAAAAAACTAAGTAAATCTCAAGAACTCCAATGTAGATATTGAAATATTCAGATAAAGAATTTGAAGGAGCAATTATAATGCTCCATGAAGTAAGGATGAACACTCTTGAAATGACTGGAAAGATGAAAGTTCTCAGCAGAGAAATAGCAGTTACAAAAATGAACCGAATGAGGTGTGTAAAACTGAAAAACATTACAACTGAAATAAATATTCATTGGATGGGCCGAATGCCAACAAGGAGATCACAGATTTCAATTTTAAAGCTAACACAAGTGAAATGATCCAATCAGAACTACACAGAGAAAACAAATTTAGGCCAAAGCCTCAGGAGTCTGTAGGACAATGTCAAAATATCTAACATTTGTATCTTTGGAGTCCCAGATGGTGAAAGAATTGGCACGGAACAAATAATTTAAAGAAATAATGGCGGAAAATTCCTCAAATTTAGTGAAAGACATTTATAGATTCAAGAAGTTCAAGGAACCCCAAAGTCAAAGATAAGCTCAAAGAAAAGTATACTCACATGCATAATAATAAAGCTGTTAAAAACCAAAGAAAAAATCTTGAAAGCAATCCCCAAAATAAATAAACAAATAAAAAGCTATATTACATATAAGGAAAAAAATGCTTTGAATGACCATGGATGTTTCATTAGATACAAGTAAAGCCAGAAGGCAGTGGCACAACATTTTTAAAGTACTGAAGGAAATGAACTGGAAAACCAGCATTCTATATCGGTACAAATATCTTTCAGGAATGAAAATAAAGACGTTCTGGGGCACCTGGGTGGTTCAGTCAGTTAAGCATCCGACTCTTGGTTTCAGCTAAAATCATGATCTCATGGTTTGTGAGTTCAAGCCCTTCATTGGGCTCTGCACTGACAATGTAAAATCTGCTTGAGATTCTCTCTCCCTCTCTCTCTCTCTCTGCCCCTCCCTGCCTTGTGCTCTGTCTCTCTCAAAAAATAAACTTAAAAAAAATTTTTTTGAAAGAAAGAAAATAAGACATTCTTTGATGAAAGAAAACCAATTGAATTTATTGCCACCAGACCTGCTCTTAAAACAAAAAGTGCTAAAGTTCTTTGAGTAGAAGGGAAATGATATCAGAGAGAAACGTGGAACTTCCAAAAGGAATAGAAGATAACAGTAAATATCTGGGTGAATATAATAAACATTTTCCTCCTCTGAAGTTCTTTAAAAAGTCAGCACTGTTGAAAAGCAAAAAATTACAACACAATTTTTGGTGTCTTAAGTGCATATTGTTAAGTGAAAGCAATCGGTCTGAAAAGGCACATACTCTATGATTCCAACTGTATGACATTCTGGAAAAAGCAAAAACTAGAGACAGCAAAAAGATCAGTGGTCACCAGAAGTTGGGAGGGAGGAAGGGAGAATAGGAAAAGGGATTTTTTTAGGGCAGTGATTCTATTCTGTGTGATACTGTAAAGGGGATACATGACATTATGCATTTATTAAAAACCATAGAATGGGGGCACCTGGGTGGCTCAGTCGGTTGGGCGGCCGACTTCGGCTCGGGTCACGATCTTGTGGTCCATGAGTTCGAGCCCCACGTCGGGATCTGTGCTAACAGCTCAGAGCCTGGAGCCTGTTTCGGATTCTGTGTCTCCCTCTCTCTGACCCTCCCCCGTTCATGCTCTGTCTCTCTCTGTCTCAAAAAATAAATAAACATTAAAAAAAAATTTTTTAAAAAAAACCCATAGAATGTACAAAACAAAGAGTCAACATTATTGTAAACTATGAACTTTAGTTAATAACATTTCAATACTGGTTCATTAATTATAAAAATATTTCACCGTAATATAAGGTGTTAATTGGATAAGCTGTTGGAAGGGGGTGGATAGGGATATGGAAACTCTGTACTATCTTTCTTAATTTTTCTGTAAATCTAAAACCTTTCTAAAATATGGTCTGGTTATTCCAAAAATATGTCCATATTTTAAAGGATTTAAGAAGGAAAACAAAGCTATGACATTCTAACGAAGAAAATTCTAGGCCCAGATAAGTTTCCCTGGTAAATTCTAATAAACATTTAAGAAAGATGTAACATGAATTATACATGATCTCTTCCAGAGAAGAGGACTGACAACTTCTTATCTCACTTTTATAAGGCTTGCATTACCCTGACACCAAAACCAGATAAAGACACCACAAGAAAGGAAAACAACAAATATTTCTCATGAATGTAGACACAAAACGCCTCAACAAAATATTAAAAAAATCAAATCCAGCTATTTTTAAAAAGAACAATATACAACCAAGTGTGGCTTTTCTGAAGGACGCAAGGCCGGTCCAACATTCAAAAATCAAAGTAGTTACCGTATTCTCAAACTCAAGAAAGTAAAATATAATCAGATCAGTAGATACAGAAAAAATAATTGAGAAAACACAATATCTATTCATGATATTAAAAAAAAAAAAAAAAAAAAAACTCCCCAAACTAAAAACAGGTGGGTTTTTAAAAATTAGGTGAGGGGTATATTAGAGCTAATGTTGTGCTTCACGGTAAAAGACCGAGGGCTTTGCTGTAAGGTAAAGTATAAAGCAAGCCTAACATCTTGCTAGCATCCACAGAGAGTTCTCGCTAGTTCAATGAGGTAAGCGGAAGACACTTCCAAAGAAAGAGGTAAAACTGGCTGGATTTGCAGATGATATTACTGTCCCTGTCACGGGCTCTTGGCCTGATATTTTGTCCTGCAAGGGCGCGTGTGACAATGTCTGGAGATATTTTTGGTTATCGTGCTGGGGGCGGAGAGGATGCTAGTGGCATCAAGTGACTAGAGGCCAAGGATGCTATAAACATTTTACAGCGCACACGATAACGCCCCTTTCAACAAAAGAATTATCTAGCCCCCAACGTAAGTAGGTCTGAAGTTGAGAAACCCTGGTCTACATAGAAGTTCCTAAGAAAATTACACCAAAGCTTCTAGAACCAAGTGAGTTTACCAAGTCAAAGAACATAAGGTCAATATACAAATATCAACTGTATTCCCATATACCAGTTATAAAAAAGAACTAAGAGTGTGCATGTATGGTGTGAATTCTTATTCTGTCATATTCCCCCTGCCAGGTGAATATGGGATAAGGTTAAAAATAACTAGCACCCTGGGGAGCCTGGGTGGCTCAGTTGGTTAAAAGCATCCCACTTTGGACTTTGGCTCAGGCCATGATTTCAGAGTTCACCAGATTGAGCCCTGCATTGGCCTCTGGGCTGACAATGTGGAACCTCGTTGGGATTCTCTCTCTCCCTCTCTCTGCCCCTCGCCCACTCACACTCACTCTCTCTCTCGGTCTCAAAATAAACAAACTTAAAAAAATAACTAGCACCCTTCAAGTGCCAGGCACTTTATGTTTTCTCATTTTTTTTAAGTATGCTCTACTCCCAACGTGGGGCTGAAACTCATGATCCCGAGATCAAGAGTCACACACTCCACCAACTCAGCCAGCCAGATGCCCCTCATTTTAATCTTCTGAATTTTATACATGAAGAAATAGACTTGGTAAAGTATCAAATCACACAATTAATGAGGAGGTGCATTAATTCAAGGCATTTCAGATATAAAGTCCAATCTTTATTATATAATAAGTCCTACCATAGTAAAATCTACTTTAACAAATTCAAATGTTAGAAAATAATTTGCAAACTCCTTACCTACAAAAATGTGTTATTCTTTATCATTGAGAAATTAGATTAGTATTAACTAAATTTCTTATTTCAGGTGTTTTCTTCAATGTTAAATTTTAAAATAATAGCCTTTGATGCAATTATACTAGGGTTTATTTATACTTATTTCTTACCTTTCTTTTCTTGAACGAGATCTGGTCGAAGTAATGCCAGGATCTTTTCTAATTTGAGGTTTTTCATACTTTTAAAATCAGGGAAGAACATATCAATAAACTTATTAACGTTAGCTATACCGTCTTCAATATCACAGAGCTGAGATATATGTTGTCTTTCCAGATAATCTTGTAAACTGTGGAAATCCAAAATGTAATTTAAGATTATTGTAAGCTGAAATTTATTTTTTTTTAATTTTTATTTTTTTATATATGAAATTTATTGTCAAATTGGTTTCCATACAACACCCAGTGCTCATCCCAAAAGGTGCCCTCCTCAATACCCATCACCCACCCTCTCCTCCCTCCCACCCCCCATCAACCCTCAGTTTGCTCTCAGTTCTCAACAGTCTCTTATGCTTTGGCTCTCTCCCACTCTAACCTCTTTTTTTTTTTTTCCTTCCCCTCCCCCATGGGTTCCTGTCAAGTTTCTCAGGATCCACATAAGAGCGAAACCATATGGTATCTGTCTTTCTCTGTAAGCTGAAATTTAATAACCATGCCAGAAAATTAAAACTGGTAATAAGTTCACAAATACTTTAATGGTTTAATAAAATAAACAAAAATTAAATTTTCATGTAAAGTTGTATCTATCAAATAAAAAAATATGCATTTAATTCCATTTTTTGTTGAACGAATCCAAAACTCAATTACATGAAATCATGTATGTTTTGACTTTTTGGGAGGATAAAGAAGACCAACATAAAATACGGTTAAACACGTTTTTCTTTCCTTCATGTTAAGCTTTCCAGGTAGTTTCTACTTTTCTTAAGGTCGTCTTTGAGTCAAGGATCATTTAGAAGAACATGGTGTGTTTTCAAATACATAAGACATTTTGGTCATATTAAAAAAAAAATTTTTTTTTAATATTTATTCATTTTTGAGAGAGAGAGAAAGACACAGAGAATGAGCGGGGGAGGGGCAGAGAGAGAGGGAGACACAGAAGCCAAAGCAGCCTCCAGACTCTGAGCTGTCATCATGGAGCCCGATGCAGGGCTTAAACCTACAGACTGTGGGATCATGACCTGAGCCAAAGTTGGCCGCTCAACCAACTGAGCCACTCAGGCGCCCCAGTCATCTTTTTATTGTTTATTTCCAATTTTATTGGATTATAACTAGCAAATGTGTGCGGTGAAATCTTAATTTTAAAAAATGTGTTAAGGCTTTCTTGTAAACAAAGAAAATGTATGTGTGGGATTTAAGGCTACATATATTTATAGAGTATATGTAATTCTATCAGGGCACTTTTTGATGACTATATCTACTTCATAAATGTTGCTTTCACATCATGTCCTTCTTTATTAAATTTAGCACTTGTAATGTTCAATTCTAATACTTTATTTTGCCTGGAGATAGATAGATAGATAGATATCCCTTTAATTTTATTTTTCTTTGTTTCTTTTTAAAAACAAATTTTTTTTTTCAACGTTTATTTATTTTTGGGACAGAGAGAGACAGAGCATGAACGGGGGAGGGGCAGAGAGAGAGGGAGACACAGAATCGGAAACAGGCTCCAGGCTCTGAGCCATCAGCCCAGAGCCCGACGCGGGGCTCGAACTCACGGATCGCGAGATCGTGACCTGGCTGAAGTCGGACGCTTAACCGACTGCGCCACCCAGGCGCCCCTAAAAACAAATTTTTAATGTTTATTTATTTTTGAGAGAGAGAGACAAAGCATGAGCAGGGGATGGGGCAGAAAGGGAAATACAGAATCCAAAGCAGGCTCCAGGCTCTGAGCTGTTAGCACAGAGCCTGACTCAGGGCTTGAACTCATGAACCGTGAGATCATGACCTGAGCCGAAGTTGGATGCTTAACCCCTGAGCCACCTAGGCACCCCTGTGCGTTTCTTTTGAACAGAATGTAGATGAGTGTGTTTTTAAAACTTTTTATTTTGAAAAAATTAAATTGGCAGAAAAGTTGCAAGAGTATGATAATGAACTCTAGATTTACCAACTGTTAGCATTTTGCCACATTTGTTCTCTCTATCCCTCTCATCCCCCTCCCCTCTCCTGTGTGTGTGTGTGTGTGTGTGTGTGTGTGTGTGTGTGTGTGTGTTGACTGAACCATTTAAAAGTAGGCTGCAGATATTTTAACCATTCACCCTCCTAAATACTTCAGGAAAGTTTACTTGATATAAAACTTTTATCTCATAAACTGCTCATATTCAAATTTCACCAATCATAAAATACTGTCCCATCAATAGTAATTTTTCCTAATCCTGGACCATACATTGCATGTAATTGTCCTATCTCCCTGGTCTCTTTTAATCTCTAACAATATTCAGCCTTCTTGTCTTTCATGATATTGACATTTTGAAGAGTCCAGGCCAGTTGTTTTGTGGACTATTCCTCATTTGGGATGGTTTCAAACTACTGGATGGACCAATAGTTTCCTATTACTTTCAGGATACGAATCTGTGTCCTTGTCACAAGATGATATACGCAATGTAAGTTTTTCCTATTGTTGGTGTTATTAATGTAGTTGAAGTGATATCTCCCTTCAAAGCGTTTTCCCCATTGAAAAGCTACCATTTCCACTTTGTAAATAAGAAGAAATCTGAGAGGACACAATCTGAAAGTGTATATATTTTTCACGCAATGGTTTTAGTGCCCATTGAGGATTCTCCTCTGTGTCAATTGTTACTATAATGGTTTTTAACTTTTTTTTAACTTTAACCTTGTAATCTCTGTATTTAATGGGATAATTAACCTTTTCATACTTAGTATAATACCCATATACTTAACTATATTCCTTCCATCTTACTTTATATATACTATTTATTTTAAATTATACTTTCTTCTTTTTTCTTTCTCCCATCTGCTGGTCTGAGCAAGTTGCTATCCATTCCGTGGTATTCCCTTGTTAACATAGAGGTCCCATGTATCCTCATCCACTGCCTTAATGGTCACCATCTTTAACCTGCTTCCGTAACCAAACGCATATGTTCTGAGAATTTCCTGCATCCTGGCACACACTATTTCTCAGCTCTAACACTCCACCCATCTCCACTTCTGCAAACTCGAAAAAGAACCTTAAAATGCTGTTACTTCTTCATCTCGTCTTTCTCCTCTCAGAGGAGAATTGTTTCCCTTCGCTTTTTTCCCTCAGATGGAAGTATCTCTTTTCATTTTTTGTTTGGACAAGTCTTCCCTCAAATATCTTCCAGGAGATATATTCCTAAGCATGTCCCTGAACTTTTTCCTTTGTTCCACTAGGTAAAGGATATCCTGGCTTCATTAAGATGGGGGAGGGGGTCTGTTTCTCTCAGGAGTCTGATGACAAGTCCCATGCCAGCCAGAGATTTGTCCTTGTAAGTAACTTATTCTCAGTTGCTGCCAGACAGGCAGTTGGTGTAAAGGGAATACCTAAAGTGCAAGTCACTGGGGGATGAACTGTCTCTAAGAAATTTTAAACCATTTCTTTTATTTTTTTTTTAAATTTTAATGTTTATTTTTGAGAGAGAAAGAGAGAGAGAGAGAGCAAGCAGGGGAGGGGCAGAGAGAGAGGGAGACATAGAATCCAAAGTGGGCTCCAGGCTCTGAGCGGTCAGCACAGAGCCCAACGCGGGCCTCGAATTCACGAACTATGAGATCATGACCTGAGCTAGAGTCGGACTCAACCGACTGAGCCTCCCAGGCGCCCCTTAAACCAATTTTTAAACTAAAAGTTGGGCTGCTTCTCAGCATCACCATGCACCAGCAATTCTAAATAGCGTTAGTGGTATGTTACTACTCCTCCTTGAAAAAACAAAAACAAAAAACTTTTCTCCACATTCTGAACAATTCCTGTGGTTATAATGTGTTTAATTTTAATAATATATGTGTGGGCTTCAAGTTGGCATTTTTATTATTTACATTTAATAAACAGTGTACTCTAGCTTCTACTCTGCATATAAGAATCAATTCTAAAATAAGAGCTATTGGCAGATTGCAATTTCTGGAATTTATCAGGAAACAGGAATTTTATGTATCTCTATTGACATCCAGTGAAGATCAATTTTGAGAATGTCACTAGCAAATCATCAAAACTTAAGGCTTGCAAACAAAAATTGCACTTTGTTTCTGTGATAGACTAATATATATAAGTATGCAAATGTTTTCCTTTCTAAGAAAACATATTAATATAATTAAACAGTATTAACCTATTGTTTCATTTTTGATATTACAATATTCATTTTTTACTTTTTGCTTCTATGTTCATATATACACAAAATTTTGTAAAGGACAATTTTCACTATTTATGGGTTTTTTTTCTGGCTATTATCGTCTTGCATAATAGCTAGTACTAAAAATAATATTGTCATGGGCCGCCTGGGTGGCTCAGGCAGTTGAGCGCCCGACTCTTGATTTCCGTTCAGGTTGTCATCTCACGGTTGTGAGATCCAGCCCTCTCTCGGGCTCCATGCTGGTGGAACCTTCTTGAGCTTCTCTCTCCCTCTCCCTCTGCCCCTCCCCCACTCACTCACACTCTCTCCCTCTCAGAAAAATCCTTTAAAATTTTTATAAAAATAAAAATAATATTGTCATATAGAGGAGAGGGGTGTTAAGGAAATTATCTGCTTGGGGTTTTGGACATCCTAAGGACACCACGGGCTGTTCTTTGTCTCTGGAAATGGCATACAGTGTGTCTTCCCAGGATATTCCCATATCTGTGTTTCTCTGCATCAGTCGAGACTGGGCCACTGTAAACCCTTTCAGTCGGCAAATGCATGTGTTTCTTCGTTTCAGGAAATTTTTTCCCTATTATTCGTTGAGTTATAGCTTGTTCATCTGTTCTTTCTTTTCTGTATGGAATCTCTCTTATTAGCACATTGATCTTTCCAGTACATTCTCCACGTTGTTTCTGGTCCGCTCTCATGAAGTCTGTCTCATTTTTTTTCTGTCCTTTGAGCTACTTCTTGTATCTGATTTTCCAAGGCATTAAACCGAGTCTCAAATGACTATCAGACTGAATTTAGAGTTCAAATCATAATTTATTTTATAGTTCAAATGAGAAGTCTCTTTTTATGTGTATGTAGCACTTGGATCGCAAGTATTACTATGATGATAACTCCTATTACTATTATTTTACTTGAGGACTTTTCTATCCTTAGTAGTTCTTTTTCACTGGGCTTGTGTTCTGGTATTTGTGTAGATCTTCCTTTGGCCACTAGGCTCCCCTTGGTAGACAGTCATTTTTCTTGGTTTGTTTACTGGGGCTTACACCTGGTTTTGAGTGTCTTAGGTGATGGAAACCCTATGGCTGAAAGGCCAGAATGACCTCTAGGCTACCAGCAAGCAGGTTGTTGTTTCTCCGGTAAGAGCCATTATGGAGCTGGTCCTCAAAGGCAGGGCATTTCAGTAATCCCACTCAGCTCCATCTTGGGCTTTCAGAGGGTCAGGAAGGCCCAGTGAAGTTCAGTGTCAACCTGGCCCCGGGAAGTCACAAGTCTGTGTTTGTTCTTCCCAAGGCTGGTGGTTTTCTCCAGATTCTTGTCCCCTGTGACCTGTCCCCTCCCCTTCTCTTTCGTTCTGTACACAGAGCTCCAGGCCTCACCTGTGGCCAGATGCTTATTAGTCCAGGTTCCCTTTGATTCCAGAGAGGCAAGAAAGGTCTGGAGATGGGAATAGATAGTAGGGGTATAGTATTCAGACTGCTCTGATCCCAGAAATACGTTTAAAGATTATTTTAGAAATTGTACCTATTATCTTTAATTTAAATGAGAGTTTTATAAAAGAAAAACCTGCTCTCTACAAGCTATGACATGTATAGGAGATAAATAGGTTACTAAGAATACAATAGACACTTTGTGTGGCCAGAGAAATGCAATATATTATAGGAGGTCGGTACTATCATCTTTAGTCAGTCATAAGGATTTAGAGCAAAAGGGACTTTAGAGATCGTTTAATTTTCACCCATCTCTGTATCCCCAAGACTTGGCACATAGTAGGACTTTAATAAATACTACATAAAGGAAGGATGCATAACAGAATAAATGAGTGAATGAAGGAAGGCAGGAGTGAATGAATTAGTGAAAATGGCCAGGAACTACTTATATGACTCTGGACAATGTAGCTAATAGAACCATGCCCTTCCTCTTCTGTAGAATGACCAGAAAGCAGAGATAAAGGACTCTGACCTTTGCGTTCTTAATATACTGATTAAGGAGACAGACATGTAAACAGATAATATATGTGCCATAATCAGAAGTCATCATGAACAAATTTGGAATGCGGATGAAAACCATGGATGCCTGAACCATTTTCCTGATTCCTACTCCCTCCTCCTGGCCAGCCATGGGGTCCAGTGGGCAACTGACAACACGAAGAAAGTTCTCCCAAACCATGTGGGTTCACATGTGAGTTTTTCTCCATAGGGCAAACACTCCAACAAAGACGGGGAGCTCTGTTCACGTTCACAGAAGGAGGCACCTACCACTCCCAGTCTAATTGTCCTGCTTTTAATTTCCCTTCTTCCTCACCCACCAGTACTCCCTCCTCCCAATACCCATAGAGGAAGGTGAGGAGGCTTTGAGGTGGGGGAAGGGCGGCCATAAAGAAAAACAGTGAACAAATGGGTACATCATTCATGAGAGTTTTAGTTCTTTATCCTTTAGGTTTTAGATTTACTTAAAAGATGAAAGTAGCAGGGCACCTGGGTGGCTCAGTTAGTTAAGCATCCAACTTCAGCTCAGGTCATGATATCGCGGTTCATGCGTTTGAGCCCCGCATCGGGCTCTATGCTAACAGCTTAGAGCCTGGATATTGCTTCAGATTCCGTGCCTCCCTCTCTCTCTGCCCCTCCCTTGTTTGTGCTCTCTCCTTCTCTCTCTCTCTCTCAAAAATAAATAAACATTAAAAAAAAAAAAAGATGATAGCAGCTGTACACAGCCCCTGTTATGCTCTGACTCCAGAACAAGAGCTGTGAAAACAGATTCCCAGACAAACGAACTTGAACCCCACCACTCCATGCTGCCTGCTGGTGGCCACTGCTCAGAGTAACGACGGGCCAAACGCAAATGGAGTCTCTAAGTTCAGAAAAGAAATACCGCAGACTTTGCCAAAGCAAGATTAACACATCTCACTCCATGCCCACCCTGCCAATTGCCTAAATTGTTCATCTGATTATGCTGGTATCGAACGTTTGGAGACAAATGCTTGCCAAAGTCAGATGTGACACAGACTTGCCCCAGAACAATGGCACCAGTGGAATACTGACTTCTTTTATGCCAGCTGCTAACAATGAGGGTTTCACAGGACATTTTTTTAATGGCTCAGAAGTCCTGGTATGAAGCCTGGTATCTTTTTGAGCACAACTCTCCCCACCAAACCTTCCCTCTGACCACTGACCATCATTCCCTGTTAAAACTGTGAAAGTAGGGGCGCCTGGGTGGCTCAGTCGGTTAAGTGGCCGACTTCGGCTCAGGTCATGATCTCACGGTCCGTGGGTTCGAGCCCCGCGTCGGGCTCTGTGCTGACAGCTCAGAGCCTGGAGCCTGTTTCAGATTCTGTGTCTCCCTCTCTCTGACACTCCCCCGTTCATGCTCTGTCTCTCTCTGTCTCAAAAATAAATAAATGTTAAAAAAAAAAATTTTTTTTTTTTTAAAAACTGTGAAAGTAAGTAGTACTGTTTACAAAGCTCTTTGTCAGCAGCCAACTTACCTATAAGTCCCTCTATCCCACTCAAAACTTGCAACGAATGACATTAGTTCCTGCTACCTAAAAAGCATCGGTAGGAACCAGCAGATGTAGCTAGTCAAGAAAAGCTACTGCACACATTAATAGGACAACAAGGAAAGTTCTGGAGATTCCTGGCCAGAAAATGCAATGAAGATGCTCTGTCCAGCCACATGATGAAATCTCAAGACTCAGAGACTCTCACCCACCTTTCTTTCAGACATAGTTCCGATGACTCTTGGGTTAAAGTGGACTTTCTGAGTCTTCGGGGGAATAAAAGGCACAAACGCCAGTGCATGAAACCGGGACTGTATATATTACATTCATTTTCAACTATTTAAAAACCCATCAGTGAAAACATACAACCATTCAGTTCTTAGCAATTCATAACCAACTGCCGAAAGTAAGAGGGGAGAGTACATTCGATGTCTTTAGGACCCGGGGCAAGTGGGAGTGAATGTGGGGAGACAGCAGAAAAGATAGGCCTGGCAGGGATTACACATGGTCCCAATCTATCCCTGGGGCCCCAGGCTGGGAGGCCACACTGGTGTGCCCAGCTTTAGAAAGACAAACGTAAACTCTAATCCTCTTGACATACACTTTCAGGGAAATCCCAGCTTTGCTGAATATACACTTTTTTTAGATTGACTGGAAGAAATACTTGTGGTTCCAATGTAAAAATGTGTGTTCTAAATGTGTACCTCAAAATGTGTTTGAGGTATTTGGACACTACGCTTCACTACGTCCTCATATGATGTAAATGGTCTCGAGTTACCTGTACAGCTTCTCCTTCCTCAGCGTAGGTGGGGCCACCTCATGGTGATGATCCTCATCCACTTTAGTTTCAGTCTCGGGATTGGGTTCAGTTTCTTCCCAGGCAGGCTGTTCTTCATTTCCTTGAGATATCACTAGAATGTGGCTCAGGCCATTTGTCATAAAAAGGACAAAATCTTCAAAGTCAGGCTACAAAATAAGAGGATAAGCTACCTACTTCAGGCTTCTGATATGGATCGACAAAAATGGCAGCCACCACCCAACTCAAGCAACATCCTCCCCTTCACGATCACAGGGCAAGGGAGTGTTCTCTTTATAAGCCCACTGCTAACAAACACATCTTTGAAGGATAGAGGTTCACAGCTAACAGGGATTGATCTTAAAGATGATCTAATAACCATTCTCGAACTTCAGGATGCTTCCAGATCATCTACGGGGCTTGCTGAAACACAGATTTGGAAAGTCCAATCCCAGAGTTCATGATTCAATAGGTTTAGGATGGGGCTTTAGAATTAGATTTTCTCAAAAGCTCCCAGGTGATACTGAGGCAGCCGGTCCAACCTTTTCCTGGGGCCAAGAGAGATGGTTGGAGTGTCACAGCCAGCTGACAAAGTGCTGTTCACTAGAGCTTTCTCTGATGACAAAACACATTCTGTGCTCTCCAACATAGGTAGCCGCATGCAGCTACTGAGCACTTGCAACTGAGACTCTGAATTTTTCATTTGATTTGGTTTTAATGAATTTAAATTCAAACGGCCACAAGTAGCTAATGGCTACCATATTGGACAGTACATTTCTGGAAGCTATGTCTTCTGACCCCTAAACCACTGAACTTTCTGGAACACAGCACTGTCTTTCTTAATACTCCCCCAGGCAAAAGACACAGGCTTTCAGATAATGAAAGGATTAAAGCTTCCCTGTGAGCCTTTATGACAAGGAGCCTTCAACCTGGGATAAAAATCTATAGGAAAGGCCTGGCTATTCACTTCCAGAGGCCAATGCAGAAAGTCTGAGAGGACATAAGTTAAATAGGTCTTCACTCCAACAAAATACAATTGGACCATCTGCTTTCGCTCAGCTGCCACTGTTTCTACTGGAGACTGCATCACCACCTTCTTTGGCATTACCACGATATGGACCCCAACAGGACAACAGAAGCTAATTTGGCTGGTTAGACTTATCCATTTGTTTTTCTAAAATAAGGACTCTGGGGTGCCTGGGTGGCTCAGTCGGTTGAGCATCCGACTTTGGCTCAGGTCATGATCTTGCAGTCTGTGAGTTCGAGCCCCGCGTCGGGCTCTGTGCTGACAGCTCGGAGCCTGGAGCCTGCTTCGGATTCTTGTCTCTTTCTCTCTCTCTGCCCACTCCCCCCCACCCCCCCTCATGCTCTGTCTCTCTCTCTCTGTCAAAAATAAATAAACATTAAAAAAATATTTTTTTAATAAAAATAATAAAATATGGATTCAAAATATACACTGGATTCGAAAACACAGTGGCTTTTTTTTTTTTTTTTTCTAATTTTCTTACCTGGTCTGCTATTCGACTGTAGAAGTCCCTTACTTGCTGTTCAGTGAGCACTCTCTTATCCTCTATTTCTATGACAAATCCTGCCTCGAGAATCTTTCAGTAGAGAGGAAGGTCAGATCCAGACGTGTTATGGGACCACATGTAAAACAAGTCAAGGACATTTGTTTCCTGTGCTTAACAGATTTGAATGAGTTTTCAGGTAAAATACTTCAATACGGTCCATAAGGTTTGAAGAGGCTTAAAAATACATGAACAAAGAAGGCCCTTTTCAGGCCTCCTATATTTCAGTTTTCAAGGCTTGAACCAGAGACTCCTCAGTATTTCTTTTTTTGTTGTTGTTTAAAAAAAATTTTTTTAACGTTTATTTATTTTTGAGACAGAGAGAGACAGAGCATGAACGGGGGAGGGGCAGTGAGAGAGGGAGACACAGAATCCGAAGCAGGCTCCAGGCTCGAGCCATCAGCCCAGAGCCCGACGCGGGGCTCGAACTCACGGACCGCGAGATCGTGACCTGAGCCGAAGTCGGACGCTTAACCGACTGAGCCACCCAGGCGCCCCTCAGTATTTCTATTATTTAAGTGACTTTCCCCAAAATGTGAAAGAACTAACTAAATTTCAAGGGAAAATATCATGTTCTGAATCACTCATAAAAACATAAATTTATAAGCACTTTTTTAACCATCTATCTTCAAAATCGTTTTAACATTTTTTAAAAGGCTTTCCTTTGTTGAGGCTTTAACTCATAATCTAGTATAGTTTATAGCAAAAACAAAAAAGAACTATCCAAATTATGGGGAAGGATAGAATTTAACATTTAGTCGTGATTTATCATTAAAAAAAACCCTTAAATTAATGATAAATCCAGTTTGTGTGCCACTCAAGTATGGTAAAATGAAACAAAGAGAAGTTTTGAGACAAATAAGACAAATCTAATGAGGTACTAAATGATGAAATATAAGTATAACCCGGGTTCAAAGCAACTCAGGAATTACATTAAACAACACCAATAATTTGAGCTCTTTTTGACCTGGGAGTATCCAGCACCAGGTACCTTTTGCTTCTATTATAAAAGTCAACACTGGGGGCGCCTGGGTGGCTCAGTGGGTTAAGGGTCCAACTTTGGCTCAGGTCATGATCTCGTGATTTGTGTGTTCAAGCCCCACATTGGACTCTGTGTTGACAGCTCAGAGCCTGGAGCCAGCCTGCTTCAGATTCTGTGTTTCTCTCTGCCCCTCCCCAGTTCATGCTCTCTCAAAAATAAATAAATGTTAAAAAACAAATGTTTTTAAAAGTGTTTTAAAATAAATAAATAAAATAAGTAAAATAAAATAAAATAAAATAAAATAAAAGTCAACACGCTACTAGTTCTGCTTTCATTTGTCTTGTTGATATGGCAGAGCACGACTTACATCTTTCTGAACCCTCTTTTGACTGTCCCATTTGAATAACTTCTAAATATTTAAATCATGTCTTTGTTACATTACTTAGAGTCTGACAACAGAAAATAAAATCCAAGAAATATTTAAACTCAATAACTTCTCCTTTACCCTAATTGAAAAATATCATCTGCTCATTTTCTTTCTATTCCAAACATTCTTTTTTTTTAATATGAAATTTATGGTCAAATTGGTTTCCATACAACACGCAGTGCTCCTCCCAATAGGTGCCCTCCTCAGTGCCCATCACCCACACCCCCCTCCCACTCCCCATCAACTCTCAGTTTATTCTCAGCTTTTAAGAGTCTCTTATGGTTTGGCTCTCTCCCTGTCAAAGCACTCTTTAGATTTTTTTGTCCTGTTTGTTATTAGCCCTTAACTGTATTCCACAGAGGTGAGGTATTTAGGAGATACTCATAATTTACATATCTGAAATGTTATTTACTATGTCAAAACAACAAAAAGATCAAGATGAACTTACGATTAATTGTACTACCCCAACTTAAAAAGAATTATAGAATCTTGAAAAATCATTACTGTGTCCTAGCTATTCAAACATACTCGAATAAGGAAGAGTAAATCATTGCATTGTGATATTATTTCTTAAAACTTTATCAAGTGTAAGAAACATATGGGGGATTGGGGTACAGTTTTGTGCCCCCCCAACATACACACCAAAATCTGGAAGGAAAGGGCTACCCTTAGAGAGTGATATGACTTAAATCAACTCACAAATGGAAGAGACCATAAATACTATGATCATGGACCATCTACTTTAGTGTAGTTCAGTCAACGAGAACACTGCTGTAGCTAAAGAAAGAATGCATGATGGGAAGTTCATCAAGAAACCTCCAATCCCTCCTGATAGCTCCCTAGGTGACACCCTCTATTTCACAGACAACATTCTTTCAAATTTCAATTTACTGACGCTGTTTCAATGCCAAGTCATTGTTAAGGAGTCAGCAAAGTACTGCCTCGTTTTGGAAATAAAGCCTGTTGGAGTGCAGCCACTCCCATTTGTATACATCCTGCTTATTGCTGCTTTCTCAATGCGATGGCAGTTAAGCAGTGGTGACAGAGATCACATGCCCCACAAACCTGAAACAGTTACTCTCGGGCCCTATACATCTGCTGACCTTTGGATTAGAATGCAATTTTCGGGGCACCTGGGTGGCTCAGTCGGTTGAGCATCCGACTTCAGCTCGGGTCATGATCTCACAGTCTGTGAGTTTGAGCCCAGTGTCGGGCTCTGTGCTGACAGCTCAGAGCCTGGGGCCTGTTTCCGATTCTGTGTCTCCCTCTCTCTCTGACCCTCCCCCGTTCATGCTCTGTCTCTCTCTGTCTCAAAATAAATAAACGTTAAAAAAAATTTTTTTTTAAATAAAAAAAAGAATACAATTTTCCTCTTAAAAAAATTTATTTTGGCTCTAAAGCAAAACAATAAACGCTTCCTTACACTCCCATGTATCTAAAAAGGACCCTGCATTTGTCACAACATACAGGAAACAAAACAAACCAATGTGAGCTTATAACAAGTTTGTGTTGCTAATAACTAAACAGGAAGAACATGTGTTATAATCCAATATGAGGGCTATAATTTTTATCATTAATATTGGACACTGGTAGAGCAGAATTATTTAAATAAAGATGCTTGAATAGGCCCAACCTTTGTAAAGACAATACATCCAGAGCCTTTAAAGATAACTAGCACCAGAAATTTGTTATGTTCTATTTTACTCTAAACAGTAAGCTTGTCTCTAAATTGACAATTAAGAGGTTGTTATGCTGCAATTAATTTAAAGTAAGGTTGGAAAATATCACTTACTTTTTTTTTAATTTCTAAAGATTTTCTAGCAATCACAGCATCGGGCTTGATAATAGCAATACTGTATAGTTGCTCTAGGGAAAAAAATAGAAGAATTTCATTTTCTTGACACAAAGTCTAGATAATGAAGGATTTGGCGATTAGAAATGTAAACTATGGAGTGCCTGAGTGGCTCAGTCGGTTAAGCGTCCAACCTCAGTTCAGGTCATGATCTCACAGTTCATGAGTTCGAGCCCCACATCGGGCTCTGCGTTGACAGCTCAGAGCCTGGAGCCTGCTTCGGATTCTGTGTCTCCCTCTCTCTCTCTGCCCCTTCTCCACTTATGCTCTCTCTCCCTCTCTCTCAAAAATAAATAAACATTTAAAAAAAAAAAAAAAAAGAAATGTGAACTGTTAATGTCCAGTGAATGTGTGTCCATTGACAGCTTTGCTCTTATTACAGCATTCCAACTACCAAAGAGTTTCTGCTTAGAATCAAAGTGCAGCTCCTATCTTTGCATGCAGGACAAACATTCACAACAATTGGTGGTCCATAGGCAAAAAGAAAAAAAAAGTTAGGTAGGCACTAGTTATTTTAATACAATGGATTAAAATCACACCCATGATCCATCCAGCTCAGTATCACTGATGAGTAGAGCTACAATGCAAGCAAAATCACACACTGATGGATTTGACCATCTAGAGATTTATCCACATTTATCTACACACTCTTCTGATGAGTTTTTAGTGCATAATAGCTCGCTGAGCACGCTGTTTGTCTCTGCTCCAAGGTATGAACACACACTCACACACCTACACAGACAGTCCACACACGAGATCGTTAACTGGAAAGTAAACCGGTGTGTGGGTCATTGAGGAAGAAATTGTTTTCATGAGGTTCTGGAAGATGATGAAGGATGAAATAAGAGGAAGCTGCTGTCTAGTTAGTCACAGGGGACAGGAATGCCCAGTCCCGGGTAACCTCAGAAAGGCTTCAGAAACAGAGACCAAAGGAAAGGCAAGAGGAGCAAAAAAAGTTTGCTTTTTAATAGCGGAGTCTCATATTAGCCTACCAGTCCCTTACCAATGACATTGATGTCACCACCAGCTTTTTGTTCTTGCAAGTAGTGCCTTAATGAGCATCCATGTACATGAATCCCTTGCCATTACTTTGAAGGAAATTTACTCACCAGCACTTTCATAGGGTGATTCCTCACCATCTTCCGCATCTGAGTCCACAAACGTAATTTCATGATACTGTGGAAGAGAAATGCAAGTAGAAGTTATATTTTAATATGATAGGAAAAGAATTTTTAGAAATTTTGTTTCTAATAAATATCTATAATCCAAGGGATATAAGGTAAAGTGGGAATATGCCTGCATTTATCTAACACTACTTTTCCTGATCTTCCCACTAAAATAAAATAAGGAATGTTGAAAATGATTGGGGTGGGAAGGCTATCAGAAATCATGCATACATGCTGTTTGGAAAATGATCAACAACCAAAGGACCTTAAAATTTAAGAAGAGCATAAGGAATAAAATAAGAAAGAAGCAGAGATTAATAAGTAAGAAAGCGATAAATACACAATTATCATGTTATAGATCAAACGGGCATTTGATGAGTTTCTAGATCTAATCCTGACCATTACTCTTGGTAAACTAGCAACAGCAAAAATACCTCCTTAACTTATAAAAAAAAAAATTGTACTGCTCAAAACAACAGCCAGTTTTCTACCACAGGGTAAAAAACGAGGAAGGATGGGGATGGGGTGCCTTAATTTTTTGAGAATCCCTTAAAGTGCTTCTGTGATTCTGTTTTAACTACTTGAAAGGTATAGACATTTACATATATACATTTTTTGGCAAGAGAATGCATAATGTCAGAGTCTCAATGAAATAAAGACCCCCAAATGTATGGAAATGACTATACTGGAAGCATTTGTTCTTACTATAATCAGGAATCAGATAATCATGCCAGCTATAACTTCAGATTGATCTGACTTTATAGTTGCTGAACGTACGCTGGCCAGCAGGGCAGCCACTAACCACATAAGATTATTTCAGCCTTGAAATGAAATCAGTCCAAATTAAGGTGTGCCATAGGTGAACACTACACAGCACATTCCAAAGATTTAATATGAAAAAAAAAATGATTGTAGAATACCTTATTTTTATATTGAGTACATCCTTAAGTGGAAATCTTTTTAATACACAGGATTTAAAATTTGTAATTTCACTTCTTTCTTTTCTGTTGTTTTCAGTGTGACTAGTAGCATATTTTCAATCATGGATGTGGCTCACAACATGACTTGCACTTTATTACTATCAGACAGGGTTGTGCTAGACCAGACAATTAGATAAGAAAGCTAAATAGCAAAAGCAGTCAACAAAATGGAATAATAAAAATAAATATATTAATACACTTCTTACATTCACAGTGCTATTAGTTAAAACAGCATTTCATCCTGTGAGGACAATCAGACCAACAACAATACAAACGCAAAACAGCACACATAGAGAAAGCTGGATAGAATTAAGCCATTAGGAGTTTATATTCAGGAGTCACTCTGCCTGACGTGAAATTCTGGTTTCACCATCCACTAGCTGCCTGTTTCTGGGAAAATGACTCAATGTTTTTAAGCCTTGTCTTGTTGTCTGTAACTCTCCCATAATATTTCTTGAGATTCCCATTCAAGATGCCAACATAGAAGGCTCCTGAACTTACCTCCTCCCATAAACACGCCAAATCTACAGCTATATACAAACAAATTTCCTCTGAAAGAAACCCAGAGAAAGCCTGAGCAGCTCCTACCCATCTGGTAAATGAGGGGGGGGGGGAACCATATTGAAATGGGTAGGAGAGGTTGAGATACAACTCGACCATAAACTTCACCCCCACCACAGGGACACACCATTGGGAGGGAACAACCAGCATCTCCCTGAGGAGTGAAGGGTTTGGACTCAACATATAATGCCCCAGATTTTAAGACTTCCAACTGAGAGACGGGTCCCCAAAATGCCTGGCTCTGAAAGCCAACTGGGGCTTGTGTCCATGAGTCCCAGGGGGTCACGGTAAACAAACAGTTCTTAACAGGCCAGTAAGAGCGGGCTGTGGCCATCCTATCGAGGCTCAGGGTACCAGCAGCTCAATGACATGCCCAGTTTTTCTCTGAAAGAAGCCTATTTGAAACTCTTGAAAGCTGTAGCCTGGGAGTCAAGCTGCTAAACTAACACAGAACTAGCAGCTGACTGCAATCCTTTCTGGAGACCAGGGAGGCCAGCAGGCACCATCTTTGTACGTTCTCTCTGCCCGGATCCAGGTGGCTGATATCCACATGAACATGGCTTGAGCACACACCTGGCACCCCGCCCCAGAAGAACACATCCTTTTATAGCCTGGTTCTGGCAGCCAGCAGAGCTAGCGTTCGTGGGTTCAGCACACCCGGCAATGGATAAACCATCCGTACAGAAAATCAGTGAGAAAACACTGGACTTAAACTATATGTTAAACCAGATGGACGGAACATTTTTAACACATTCCGTTCAAAAGCAGCAGAATATACAGTCTTCTCAAGTGTACATGGAACATTCCCCAGGCTAGATCATATGCTAAGCCGCATCAAGCGTCTTTTCTCACCACAATAATAGACTAGAAATAACTAGAAATCAACTAGAAAAAGAAAACTGGAAATTCACATATCTGTGGAGATTAAACAGGTTGCTGAACAACCAATGGGTCAAAGAAGAAATCAAAAGAGAAACTAAAAAAATACCTGAGACAAATATTTAAAAAAAAATACCTGAGCCTGGGTGGCTCAGTCAGCTGAGCACCAACTTCGGCTCAGGTCACGATCTCAGTCCGTGAGTTCGAGCCCCGCGTCGGGCTCTGTGCTGACAGCTCGGAGCCTGGAGCCGGCTTCCGATTCTGTGTCTCCCTGGCTCTCTGCCCCTCCCCCACTCGTGCCCTGTCTCTCTGTCAAAAATAAACATTGAAAAAAAAATGTTTTTTTAAAGAATAAAATAGTCAGCAATCGAAAGTATTACCTGAGGGCGAACCATTTCACCTGCTTCAATTTTCCTCTCCTCATCAATCAAGTTAATAATTTTTTGATTAACAAGTGGGGCATTTGCACCAATGATCTTGGCAATAATTTTGCCATTCTATAAGGGAAAAGAAAGCATCAAGTAAACTCATTTTCAGGATAAGTCTGGAATTCAACTTGACTAAGTCACCCCATGTGGCCTCACACCCCCATCATTTCTTTTTAGCTATTACAATTAGCCATTTTAATCTTTTGTCTTCGTATTTATTTATTCGTTATTCATTTTGAAAGACAGAGTGAGAGAGAGAGCAAGCGGGGAAAGGGAAGGGGAAAAAAGAGAGGGAGAGGGAGACTGCATGCTCTGAATACATACTGTCAGTGCAGAGCCCGACGTGGGGCTCGATCTCATGAACCACGAGATCATGACCTGAGCTGAAATCAAGAGTTGGACACTTAACCGACTGAGGCACCCACGCACCCCTGCAATTAGCCATTTTAAAATAAAGTATTAGGGCGCCTGGGTGGCGCAGTCGGTTAAGCGTCCGACTTCAGCCAGGTCACGATCTCGCGGTCCGTGAGTTCGAGCCCCGCGTCGGGCTCTGGGCTGATGGCTCAGAGCCTGGAGCCTGTTTCCGATTCTCTGTCTCCCTCTCTCTCTGACCCTCCCCTGTTCATGCTCTGTCTCTCACTGTCCCAAAAATAAATAAAACGTTTAAAAAAATTTTTTTAAATAAATAAATAAAATAAAGTATTAGTGATGTAAAAGTACGTCTTGATTTAAAAACCCCAGCTCTTTGAGTTCTGCTTCCACGTTGCCTGTCCTCCTTCAACCAAAGGCAAGGCAGCCCTGAATTACATTCAACAGTTCTGTACAGGCCTCCCAACCTTGCCTTCTCTAATTATTATTGACACTATGGCCCCTTTCATCCATCTTTCAACGTATATTTACTAAAATCTGTCTACTGGCACAATACCAGGCATGATGGCATGGAATGGCAGTCCTGGTACATGGCCTAATTACATCACAAAAAAGGAGGGAAAAAAAACCAACACAGACAAAATATGTAAAATAACAATCATGACAAGTACCACCAAGAGAGGTACAAAGCACTGGGAGTATCTACAAGAATTTGTCACGGTCAAAGAGATCAGCAAAGGTGCTTACTGATATCAGGGTTGAAATGTGTAAGATGGGTAAGAGATAAGTAGGCAAAATGGAGAAGAAAGAGTATTCTAGACAAAAGGGATAGAGATGCAAAGGTCCTGAGGCCAGAAGGGAATATGGCAAATGTGAAGGCCAGCTGAGAAAGTGAGGGGATGCCTGGAATGAGAAAAGGCCCAACAGTGAAGGGGAACCAGACCATGCAGAGCCTTGTGGGTCATGGAACAGCACAGCCTTTAACCTAAATGAAGTGGGAAGTCTTAGGCATCGTTTAAACAGAGGGGGTGACCACAATTAGAACTGTTACTTGTAGAAATCCTTTCACTTACCATGTTTAGAGTTAGAAGGGAGCAGGAGAAGATGTTTGTATACAAAGTAGGGCTATCCTAGAGGTGATGATGAGAGAGATGATTGCTCAGTCTATGGCTGTGGTGACGGAGATGGAAAGAATAGAAAGATGCAGATAAGTGTGAGAAAGACTTGGGTAATGAAACTGACAGGTCCAAGGTCTGGAGTGTTTTGGGTGTGATGTTTTTGTCAAGAAAGTAGATAAATTAAGATGTTAAGCACCAAATGAGGTGACACTTAGAAGACCACATTTCCTGGGGATGGCAGGGGAGGGGGGGCAGGTCTGGTGTTGGACCAGTCCCTTGTGAGATGCCCTTGAGACACCCAAGAAGGATGTCAGAACACCAGTTGCATACACACCTCTGGAGCTCAAAGTCTAGGAATCGGCTGAAGATGTAAACTTGAGTTCTTTATATACAGGTGGAGACAATGGAAACTGTGTGGAGACAATTTTCTAAGGAAGGTATTAGCATGATAAGATCAAAATTTACTGGCTGAATAAAGAAACGTAAACCTGCGGGGCACTTGGGAGGCTCAGTCAGTTGAGTGTCCAACTTTGGCTCAGGCCATGATCTCCTGGTTCATGAGTTCAAGCCCCATGTCGGTCTTTGCACTGACAACACAGAGCCTGCTTCAGATTCTCTGTCTCCCTCTCTCTCTGCCCCCACCCCTGCTCATGCTCTCTCTCTCTCTCTCTCTCTCAAAAATTAAACATTAAAAAAAATTTTTAAAGAAAGGTAAACCTGGAAAGGTGATGGAGGGGAATAGCATCTAGGTAGGCAAAAGGGAAACCAAGTAACAAAGCCAAAAGAAGCCAATGTTTCAAAAAGGAGGGCATGGCCACCACATTCAATACATGTGAGAGGTACAGCATGATGAATCTCAAAGTGTCCGCATATTTAACAACAGGCTGGTAAGTGGGTACATTGGCAACAGCAAATTTGCTTGAATAATCAGAAGGCAGATTGGATGGGTTGAGGAATTCATGGAATGTGAAAAAAAAAAGTGGAGTAAAACTAAATATGCAAACTCTTCTGAGAAATTTAGCTATGAGGTAAAAGAGGTGGGTGATAGCTGGAGAGGGGTGTGGCACCAAAGAAAGTATTACATTTTAATTGGAAATATTGAACCATCTTCAAAGGACACTGAAAGGATCCAGGTGAGAAAGGCTTAAATAAATACTGGCATTCTAGTTACCATTCCCCACTAAAAGGAACTTTCCTACAATTCTGGGGGCCTTCTAATGCACCTTGCAAAAGCCTTTCCTGCGGAAAGTTGCTGAAATGAATTTCTTGTCAGCTAAGGGTGGGGAGCAATACCAAGAGCCCCTGTGGGGACATTTTTTTTTTTTTAACAAGGGATGATGTGATGGGGATTGTGTGCTCACAGACTAGATTCTTAGATAAAGGATTATAGGTGTGGTTATCGCAAGGAGCGATAAAATCTGAGGCATAACTACATGAGCAACTGCTTGAGGTGCATTGGAGAAAAGTTTACGGGCAGTTAGGGCGTCAGGAATTGAGAGGCCAGGGTACCGGGCAGGTTGCCAATGTGGATGCTGAAGTCCCTGGGGTGACGGCAGGACACGGGTTTGAAAGGAAGCCTTTGAGGCACACGCCAAAGTCCTCAGTCATCGACAGAACTGATTTGAAGTCCAGTAAATGACAGGAGTGCGGGTGGGGGGAGAGGAGGTTTAGCCAAATCGCTAAATTAGCAAGGAAAAGACCTCTGACTGGCAAGGAAAAGCAGGTTATCAAAGTAAGAAGAAGTAAAGGGAATACCAATTCTATTTCTGGCCTCAAGACACATAATCTGAGACACCAGTCACCACTCTGGGCTGCAGAGAAACGTGTCCTAAGTTAGGAGCCAGATTTAAGGTAAGTCAAGGAAATGCAGCAAAGGCCCAGAGCCGCGACTAAAGAGCCTAGGAAGTGTGCTAATTGCTTCTCTCAATTCCAGACGTGACACAATGAAAGGGTTTGTGAGCGTTGCGGGGAGAACGGGGAGAACTGAGTCAGGAAAAGAAAATTCTGAGCATTAGAAGGATGAACACTGCACGATTGGGAAGAAGGGTGGACTCCTCCTCCTGGCACTGATTGCAGATAAGAGAGCCCAGATAACTGGGCTGGATGGTCCAGTCAAGGAGGGTGGGTCTACTGAACAGGCCTGACTAACCCTGCAGGGTGATGATGGCGGTCCCAGAGCTCCAGCCTCTATGTGGCCTTACCCCTGGCCAGTCTTCCTCGGTTCCATGTTCCTAACTGCTACTGCTACGAGTCTCCTCACTGTTCCTAATACTAGCCCACCAATCCCATCTCTGGGTGTTACCCACTCTGCTTCCAAAACTTTGTCTAGGCCCAGGGTCAACGAACAGTGACCCAACACAGAGACTGCATTTTGACAAAGCTAAAAAGACTTACTATCTGACCCTTTACAGAAAAAGCCAGCTGACGCCTCATCTAAATCATCAAATCCTACATGTCCAACTGAGAGCAAGATCTGAAGGCAACATCTAATATTCAATGAACCTAGGAATTCAATTCCTTGAAATAGTTGCAAGGGACTTATTTAACAGAAGCAAAAAGTTATATCCAAGAAATGATTTTTTTTAATGCTTATTTATTTCTTTTGAGAGAGAGAGAGCAGGGGAGAAGCAGAGAGAGAGGGAGAGAGAGAATTGCAAGCAGGCTCCACGCTGTCAGTGCAGAGCTTAACACAGGGCTCCATCTCATGAACCATGAGATCATGGCCTGAGCCAAAATCAAGAGTTGGGCCCTTAACCAACTGAGCCACCCAGGTGCCCGTACCCAAGAAATGACTTTAAATAGCTATTTCTAATACAAAAAAAATAATAACAATCGAAGTATCCAATAGCAGAGGAACAGTCCAAGCCCTCCCTGGGAAGCCTTTCCCTACTATCCCCACTTTCGGGTTCTGCAGTAACTACACTCCAGGCCACATAACTTAGCTTTTCACTGTATATACGCTCCTTCTAGAAAACAGCCCTTACCATGTCTTCCTGATTATTAAAGTTGTATTTCATCACAGAATATTTGGAAAATATTAAAAAGTAATAAAGAAGAAAACTCAAATATTGCATCCTTCTCCCATACATAGAAAACCGCTATTAACAATTTGGTGAATACTCTTCCTGCCTTCCTTCTACACATTTCTACATACAGAGATCAAAGCAACATATATTATAAAATAGTGATCATATAGGTATTTCCTTGTATTTCTATACACGAATACTTACAACCAATTCTCTCCTACTGCATATCTAGGAAATTTCTCATTTTTCCCTCCTGTAAATAATCATTCAGCAACCAATTTCTGATTATTTCCTCAGGAAAGGTAAATCCGTCTTATTTTTCTCTTTCCTGATAAACTCAGTGTGTGGTAGTCTAACCTCCTCAACCCATTACAGGCTTCTAGAGGTCAGGTTACCAAATATATTAATAGACAAGGAAAGACACGGCAAAAAAAAAAAAAAAAAAAATCGGCAATTATTATAATCAGAAAATAATAGTACCACGGTAATTTTACAATATTTAACTGTAAATTGGAATCTGATGATATATTTTGGATGATGAAGATACTTACAACACTAAAGAGAAAAACAGGTTCACATTTATCTCTAAATGACTGCAAAGTTACAATGTTGTCAGCTTCTGCCTGAAAAAAATATATATGTTATATAATAATAAAAGCAGCTATATCCAGGTCATGAGATACACAAGGTTGAAAACAATGCAGATCACATAAAGTTTTTATTGTGATGTTTCCTACAGCATTTTCTGAGGACGTCACATGTGTTCTCAGGATCAAACCGTACACACTGGTGACTCAGGCCATGGGTCAGGTAGCCTCGACCTTACTTCTCACTGCTCACCTCTGTGGTACCCAGCCTGTGGCTCAACTCACCTACTTCCATTTGTCAAACCACACCCACGCTTCCTCCCTCCTCACCAGCTCTGGCCCTTCCTTTTCCAACCCAGGACAAGTGTCCCTCCTCCAAGAATCCTGTCTTGCTCCCTCCTGCTGTAAATCCTCTCCTGCTCCACCCGGAACTTTCCTGCCTCCTTTGGGGGCTCCAAGGTCCCTTTCAGCAATGCACCGCCGCCATATGGGCCTGTCTCACTTCTTTCGATCAGATGTACGAGGTTTCATCTTCCTCTTCGCACATCACCCTCCTTCTGCATCGGTCACGGAGCTTACGGGGACGTCCACTCTCACCACTGTTATTTAACATGACACTAGAGGTCCTAGCCTCAGTAATCAGACAACAAAAAGATACAAAAGACATCCAAAGCAGCAAGAAGGAGCCAAACTTTCGCTCTTCACAGATGACATGACACTCTATGTAGAAAACCTGAAAGACTCCACCAAAGCCTGCTAGAACTGATACACAGATTCAGTCAAGTTGCAGGATACAAAGTCAATTGCATTTCTATCCACCAATAATGAAGGAGCAGAAAGAGAAATCAAGGAATCCATCCCATCTACAATTGTGCCAAAAACCATAAGATATCTAGGAATAAACTTACCCAAAGAGGTGAAACAGCTATACTGTGAAAACTATTGAACACTTACGAAAGAAACTGAAGAGGTTCCAAAGAAATGGAAAGACATGCCATGCTCATGACTGGAAGAACAAACATACTATCCAAAGCAATCGACACATTTAATGCAATCACTATCAAAATACCAACAGCATTTTTCACAGAGCTAGCACACATAATCCTAAAATGTGTATGGAACCACAAAAGACCCCAAATAGCCAAAGCAATCCTGAAAAACAAGAAACTGGAGACATCACAATTCTGGATTTCAAGCTATATTACAAAGCTGTAGTCATCAAGACGGTATGGTCCTGGCACAAAAACAGACACATAGATTAGTGGAACAGAAAAGAAAACCCAGAAATGGACCTACAACTATGTGGTCAATTCATCTTTGACAAAGCAGGAAAAAATATCCAATGGGGGAAAAAAACGTCTCTTCAACAAATGATGTTGGGAAAACTAAACAGCAACATGTAGAAGAATGAAAATGGACCACTTTCTTATACTATACACAAAAACAAATTCAAAATGGATAAAAGACCTAAATGTGAGACAGGAAACCATCAAAATCCTAGAGAGGAACACAGGCAGCAACCTCTTTGACATCAGCTATAGAAACTTCTTACTAGATACGTTTCTGGGAGCAAGGGAAACAAAACCAAAAATGAACTATTGGGATTTCATGGAGATTAAAAACAAACCAAACAAACAAAACAAAAAACTTCTGCAGAGTGAAGGAAACAATCAACAAAACTAAAAGGCAACCCATGGAATGGGAGAAGATATTTGCAAATGACATACCTGATAAAGGGTTAGTACCCAAAATCTATAAAGAATTTATCAAACTCAACCACCAAAAAAACAAATAATCCAGCAAAGAAATTGGCAGAAGACATGAATAGAGATTTTTTTCAAAGAAGACATACAGATGGCTAAAACACAAATGAAAAGACGATCAACATCACTCAGCATCAGGGAAATACAAAAACAAAAAACAAAACCCACGAGATACACCTCACACCTGTCAGAATGGCTAAAATTAACAACACAGGATGTGGAGAAAGGGGAACCCTCTCAACACTGTTGGTAGGAATGTGAACTGGTGCAGCCACTATAGAAAACAGTATGGAATTTCCTCAAAAAGCTAAAAATAGAACTACCCTATGATGCAGTAATTGCACTAGTAGGTCTTTATCCAAAGGATACAAAAATACTGATCCAGAGGGATATGTGCACCCTGATGTTTATGGCAGCATTACCAACAATAGCCAAATTCTGGAAAGAGCCCAAATGTGTCCATCAACCATCGACTGATGAATATTCTCAGCCATAAAAAAGAATGAAATCCCGTCATTTGCAACAATGTGGGTGGAGCCAGAGAATATTAGGCTAAGCGAAATAAGTCAGAGAAAGACAAATACCATACGATTTCACTCATACGTGGAATTTAAGAAACAAAACAGATGAACATAGGGGGAAAAAGAGACAGGGATAGGCAAACCAGAAAACAGACTCTTAACTATAGAGAATACACGGACGTTGTTGGAAGGAGCGGGATGGGCTAAATGGGTGATGGGCATGAAGGAGGGCCCTTGTTGTGTTGTATGTAAGTGACGAATCACTAAACCCTCCACCTGAAACTAATATTACACTGTATGTTAGCTAAATTGAATTTAAATAAAAACTTGGGGGGAAACAACAAATTTCAAGTTGTTGTGAAGTGATCAATAACTGTATATTAAATATTATTGTTTTCCTCCGTATTAACATAGCATCCCTTGGCCAGCTGTCAGATCATTTGGTAGGGTCTTCTCTAAGAGATGGTTTTTGCAACCTAAGGCAATTGTTTTCAAACTGGGATTTCTGCAAGTTCCTCAACCACTGGGAAGAAGCCAAGAGAGGGTCTCAGCCCTGTCAGCCAGAGGCACTGTGTTGTAATTTTTTTTTTTTTTTAAAGCATGCTGGAGTCTACGTTTCTTCTTTCTTTTAAGCTTCCACAGTTTAGAAGAAAGAAAAGGAAGGAGGTAAAAGGTACTAATCTATCATATTAAAGGACAGAAGTTAAAGATTATATTTAAAAGTAGCTTAAGACACCTGGGGGGGCTCATTTGGTAGAACATCTGACTCTTGATATCAGGGGTGGGAGTTCAAGCCCCACCCTGGGTATGGAGCCTACTTAAATCAATAAATAAACAAATAAATAAATGTAGTCTAGGTATCATTATTACAGTGTTCATATTGTAGTAAAGTATTAACAATTAAAGGATTTAATAATATTATTAAAAACTAAAATAAAGAGTATTACTGAATTTTTATATATATAGATAGGTACAATGTTAGTACAAGTCTTCAAGTCTTTTAAAAGGACACATAACAAAAAAAACAAAAAAACAAAAAACAACAACAAAAACAAAAAACTGTACTGACCATTTAGCTTAGGGTGACTTCAATAGGTAATCAACCTCATAGGTCACTCCCAATGGCGGTTTCAAAACTATATTAATTTTTGTCATCCTTTCAGGGAGGTCATAGCAAGAAAACAACATTAATTTATATGAATGTCCTACCGTTGAGTGCGCTCAAACATAACAAGAAAAACCATTCGGCGATGACGCACAAAATTTTTTGTTGTTAAATTCAACAGATGCTCGTGTTATGAGCGGTAATCTGAACATATTTTGGAAAGAACTTACTAGCCCTTCCCAGTGGGATGGCTACAGTAATAGAACAGATTCCTTGTGGAGGAGGCTGAGGAATTCTGGCTGGCTGGGGTACAACGGGAGGTCACAGTCAAAGTCGTTTTGGTTGGGAGAAAGCATTGTTAGGACCTGTATCCTCACACAGCTCTGAGCTGAGCTGAAATGGGAGCCCAACAAACTATGTGATCTAATTCTCCTTCCACCCCCATCCCTCTGCCTCCACAGCCATGCCGGGTTCACACATATTGCCCAAGTTGGTTTCTACCCAGACTCTACAAACAAAGAGGAATTTAACGCCCCTAAACCACCTGGGAACACAGCATCAAGTTACACCTTCTCTGTGTCTAAGGACTGCTTGCCTTGCCTTCCTATGCCCAAGTTCCCTTGCAGGTAGCCTGACAGGTGTGCAGGGGGCCTGCCTTGTTGTTGGTGTCTCCCCACTGACCCCAATTTCCTTTTAGACACTGAAATTTTCCCGTGATTCCTAGCCCGTGAACTTGCACTCCTACCACTTCCAGACAAACTTCTCTACTGCCAACTGCCACGACTCAAGAATTTTCCAACCCTTGATTCTCCATGACCCATTTGCCAGCTGTTAGAGCCTTCTGATACTGTCCTTTAACTTCTTATACCAACCCCTTGTCTATTGTATGTGGCAATTCCCATTAGACCCCATTCTCTGTCCTGTCAGCTCCATTTCTCCTCCCCGCCAAGGATCAAATCTCAAATCATATTCCAGATCAACTCAGGGGGCTCAGAGTAAAGCAGGCTATTATGGATCACCGCCCTTTCAAAAACTGTAACACTCTTATTTCAGAAGACAAAGTCAACCTCTGGACAAAAAGATTTAAAAATTATATATAGGGGTGCCTGGGTGGCTCAGTTGGTTGGGTGACCGACTTCGGCTCAGGTCATGATCTCACAGTTTGTGAGTCCAAGCCCCACGTTGGGCTCTGTGCTGACAGCTCAGAGCCTGGAGCCTACTTCAGATTCTGTGTCTCCCCCGCTCTCTACCCCTCCCCTGCTCACGCTCTGTGTCTCTGTCTCTCAATAATAAGTGAACTTTAAGAAAAAAAAAAAAAGTCAGATGCTTAACCAACTGGGGCACCTAGGTGGCACCCCTTGACTATACATTTTATTAAATTAAATTAAAAATCAATGTTTCTTGGGGCGCCTGGGTGGGTCAGTCGGTTGAGCATCCAACTTTGGCTGAGGTCATAGTCTCTTAGTTTGTAAGTTCAAGCCCTTCTGCTGACAGCTCAGAGTGTGGAGCCTGCTTCAGAATCTGTGTCTCCCCTTCTCTCTCTGCTGCTCCCCCCACTTTCACTCTGTCTCTCTCTCTCAAAAATAAACATTAAAAAAAATTTTTTTAATTAAAAAAATCAATTATCCTGGGGTGCCTGGGTGGCTCAGTAGGTTAAGCATCAGACTCTTGATTTTGGCTCAGGTCATGATCTCACAGTCATGAGATAGAGCCTTGCACTGGGCTCTTCACTGAACGTGGAGCCTGCTTGAGATTCTCCCTCTCCCTCTCTCTCTGCCCTTCCCCTCACTTGAGTATGTGCACACATGTGCATTCTCTCCCTCTAAAAAATAAAAATAAAAAATAAATAAATAAATAAAGTATAGTAAAAAAAGTAGATTCACATACCCAAGTTTTTCCAAACAACTTAAAAAGTTTGATAATTTCTGAATTATCAGTTTTTTAATTTACATTAATTAAAATAAAAAACTCAGTTCCTCGGGGTGCCTGGGTGGCTCAGTAAATTAAGCACCCGACTTCAGTTCAGGTCATGATCTCACGGTTTGTGAGTTCGAGCCCCACGTCAGCCTCTGTGCTGACAGCTCAGAGCCTGGAGCCTGCTTCAGATTCTGTCTCCATCTCTCTGACCCTCCCCTGTTCCTGCTCTCTCTCTCTCTCTCTCTCTCTCTCTCTCTCAAATATAAAAAATAAAACATAAAAAAAAAATTCAGTTTCATAGTCACAGTAGCCACATTGCAGGGCTCAAAAGCCACTTGTGTCTAGTGGCCACCATATTAAACAACAAAGCTCTAAGCAGTTGCTAACTTAATGTGGATAAATTGAAGCCCAATAAGTTTAGCTGTAATATTTTAATCCCTCGTCACACCTGGGTGGGAAGTGAGGGGAAAATCACTACCATTGGGATAATTGGTAACTGGGTAATTAAGTGACTGGAGACCTTCCCAATGCTACCCATTAAACAGCGTTTGCGGCTTTTATTATAAAAGACATACACTCACCATACAGTTGGGTGAAAAGAAACAGGTCAATAGACAGACCGACGTTTTTATACTTTTCCAATGTTCACACCCACAGTGAACAATTTCAATACTACAGGAATGGGATAAAAATCATGATTGTTCAGATCATTTCAGATCCAGCAGAACTAAATATATAGTAAAACTACCAAGTAAATATTGTCCATTTTGAAAAGTTGACAGGTTGTTTAAATTAAGACAGTCCTTAAGGACAATACTGAAATATTTGAAAGTATCAAGAAAATAACGGTTTAACGGAAATGACATCCTTACGACAACGAAATGCAGAAGTTCATCTTCGTTCAGTTCGTTTTTCAGTTTTCTGAATAAAGGTTGCATTGCTTTGCAAGGTCCACACCAGGCTTGGTAAACATCTATCACTGGACGACGAGAACATTTATGAAAAAAACAGAGTCGAAGAATCTAGAATAGCTGCTTATCCCAATGCTGGGGCAGGGGCAAGGGCACAGATGAGCAGGTTTTTACAGTTAGTGGGGAGGTACACTCCGTGTTGAGGGTGGTGACAGGTGCCCTGGGCAGAACTCCAAATGGCTGGACAACAGGGGAGCCCCAGTACCTGTTAGGCCTTTGTTCTGCAACATCTCATCCCACAGGCTTTGACTATTAACGACTGTCTGCAAAAAGGAAGGCACTGTAAAGAGGTCCCCAAGTGCCAGCGCACCAAGTAAAGACTGTTGGTAATGTCATACTCACCTGTAACTGGATTTCTCGCTTTTTGCTTGCCATTTATCCACTGTCACATGAAAAAAGGGAAGAAAAATAGAAAATGTTTAAGAGGAAATTTATATGAAGTGTTTCTCTATGCATTCAAAGAGGCATCTTAATGGACCGTAGAAATTTTCCTTCGGCAGTATTGAATTACACCACTCCCCTTTCCTGGGGAGAGAGGAGCCAATGCCACTAAAAGATTCCTCGCCAACTGGCTGCATCAGGCATACTGTCTTACTCTCCCAATAACCCTGAGGCAAGGCGAGGAGGTACAGTTTCTTAAAAGGGCTCTGTTTCCCTATAGTGTTATGGGGTGTCCTCTCCCCATTTCCATTTGCACACGAGTTAATTGCCTTTGACCGGACTCGTGGATCCCACTCCAGGGAGGTTTAATTTTCAGGACGAGACTACTAGTGTTCTTGAGCACAACATAAGCTTTCCGCAGCGTGAAACCAGTGAGGCCCAAACGCCACCCCCACCCCCCCATTCCGTAGTGTCACGGGCGCGCAGTGGGTGACAGCAGACCCCAGCACAAAACAAAGGAGTGGCCCAGGGCATGGAAACTACATCCCAGCGAACGGTGCCGGATTCTCCAACAAGCCTTACACAAAACAGAGCCTCCTCTCAGCTACACCGCGCATTTATACGAAGGGGAAGGAACAGTCCCTGGGGATCCCAACCAGCCGTCTGGACGAGGCCCGTGACCTTTGTGAGCACAGCTCCGACATGTCCGAGTACCTGGGCGCGGAACAGGTGCCCGGCCCCGAAGAGCTTTCAGCCCGCGCAGGTCCTGCGGAAGAGGCCGGACACGGTACCCGGGACCGCCCCGCAGGAGGCGTGGCCAACGTCTGCACCGCCCCTCCAGGGCCGCGAGACTGGCCCTCCCCCGCGGGGGCGGTGCCTCGAGGCACCCTGGACTCCGCGCGCAGGCCCAGGGCGGCGAAGCGCGCCCGCCCTGGAACCGCCGGTTTCCTGCGCTTCCCGAGGTGAGACCCCCCCCTGCCCGGTGCTGCTGCGCCTGCCCGCTGAGTCTCCGGGCAACGCCCTCCGCTGCGGGTGCGTTTGCCACTTGCAGGTTTGATCGCAGCTCTCCTGGGCTCGACGCCTTCCACCGCGGGGCCTGATTTACAGCATAAAATGTGTGCTCCTCAGGTTGGAGTGGAAGGCTCTCTGAAGCCCAGCCTCAGCCTGTCTCCAACATCGGCACCTATTCTGGCTCTTCTTCTCCTCCTCTTCTTTCTTTGCCTTCTCCTTCTTCTATTATTTGGAAATAATTTTCGACAGAGCTCCCATACACCCTGGGACGACCAGATCAATAGGCTTATTGGAAGGATGAACTAGGGTATCTACCATGATTACTTTTGAAATCTAGTCAGTTAATAAACGACTACTTTCAAATCGAAAAAAAAAAATGCTAACTTCCCTCAAGTTTTATTAGTTTCTTACAATGAATACTTTTCAGAGATAATGTTTCTGAGCCATCCTTAGCCACCCTCTCTCCGGTGGTCTTGCTTTTTTTCCCCATTGCCCCGGTAATGAAGTTCTTTCTCTTCACCATTCGTCAGAGTGAGTTTGGCTGTATTTTGAAAAATAGGGTGAGTGGCTGGCTTGATCTGGGAATTCTTTGTGTCCGCTTTTTACTGGGGAAGAATTCTCTAGTATTATCTATGGCTGGAGTATAGGTTGTGTGCATAACTTCCCTGTTCTTAGCAAGTTTCACGTGGGTCGCTCTGTTCTACCGAGGTGGCATCTTTCTTGTGACCTTTTCATTTCTGTGGTTTGCAAGAGAAATAACTACCAGTACTCCCTACTAGTGTTCATCTCAGTTCCGAGCAGCCTGTGGGAACACACCTCCCATCAGCCCTTCCACACTCACTGTTTGTCTTTCCAAAATGCTTAGCTGTTTCTTGATGTTAAGCTGTTAGTTACCGGATTTCTGGAGTCCATCTCACAAGTTTTTGTGGTTTCAGCCCAGAAAGCCATCTGGTAAACCTCTGGGGAACCTAAGTTTTCCTGTGGGCTCCTGTTGACAGACAACAACACAGGTGTCACAGAGGAGGTGTCACAGACTTTCCTCTTTAGTGATCTCTTTCTAATGCCAAATAGTGGGTTGGACCAAAGAACAACTCAGGGTCAATTTAGTGACAACCTGATCTGGTGAAATAGTAGTTACTAGAAATATGTGACAGTCCTTTTAAAATGCCAGATGGCGATGTGCAGGGATATTATATATACTTCTTATGTATCCTTAATAGGGGAACATCCTATTAAGAAAGCATTCTATAAGTAATCCTGCTCATCTATTTGGTTCACTCCGGGAATGAGGATCCTGTCTACAAAGGTCCATGGTATCCCTTCACCTTTTAGTTATTTCCTGCATCCCAAGTATGCCCACATTGGCTGGAAATCTTTTGTTAATAAAATGTTTTGCTTACCCCAAAATACATCATTGAGCCAGCACCTACATAAAGATTTTAGCAGGTGCCACAAATATTCATGCACTAATTTCAAGCAAACTCTTCACATACTTTTGCTACTTAAGGGAAAATATCATTGATACATCAAGAAGTTCCAGTCTATTCTGAAATAAGCACAAACATTTACCAACGATCAAGACATGCAAGGCAAAAGGTGAAATCAGGTTTTGAAACATCATTCCCATTAACTGCAAGAAGCTTAAATGTTGAAGTTTTGAAACATAAACTTGGTGAGCTTTTGCCTTGGGTCTTTCCAGAATGGACTTCAAGGACAAATGCACTCTGACAATGTTACTTATAAGGGATCGTGATGATTCTGGAACAGTACAGAAGATCCCACAGCATGCTAACGCATGTAGGCTTTATAGGAAAACTTCTCAAAGTTTAAAATGGGAAGGTTTGGGGGCACCTGGGTGGTTCAGTCAGTTGAGCGTCTGACTTCGGCTCAGGTCATGATCTCACAGTTCGTGAGTTTGAGCCCCGTGTCGGGCTCTGTGCTGACAGCTCAGAGCCTGGAGCCTGCTTTGGATTCTGTGTCTCCCTCTCTCTCTGCTCATCCCCTCCCCCTTTCTCTCTCTCTCTCTCTCTCTCTCTCTCTCTCTCTCTCTCTCAAAAATAAACACAAAAATTTGTAATAACTGACTGGGTGGCTCAGTCGGTTAAGCGACTGACTTCGGCTCAGGTCATGATCTCACGGTTATGGGTTCGAGCCCCACGTCAGGCTCCATGCTGACAGCTCAGAGCCCAGAGCCTGCTTCGGATTCTGTGTCTCCCTCTCTCTCTACCCCTTCCGCACTCACACTCTGTCTCTCTATTTCTCTGTCTCTTGAAAATAAACATTAAAAATTTTTAATAATAAAAAGAAATAAAAAATAAATAAAATGGGAAGATTTACAACAGATGGATGACATAAAAAGGTTGCAATTCTTAAGTAATAATAATAAAACTAATGTGACATCGGTGTGACAATTGGAATAAATGTAGTTGGGGAAGTGAAACCAAAGATAATAAGATCGAAGTCCATTGCAGCAATCCAGGAGGGCTGGGCTAAGGGCCAAAGTGAAGGCAGAGATCACAGATAAGGGGCAAAAAAGACTTAGGAGACATTTGGTGTTAGTATCAACAGGATCTGGGAAGTAGCACTTCGCAGGGATGAGCAAGGAGGAGAAACCACAGAAAACTCTATAAAGTTTCCAATTTCAATGAGTGAATAATGAGGGATGTAAAAAGAGCTATCAGAACGGGAGGGAAGATCACGAGTTCAGGGATTTTAGTATGACAAAGTGGAAGGAGAAGACTAATGAGTCCAACCATTATTGACAGTTAAATCAGGGTTATTATGATCCATGTAATTAGTGAATCCCAAGGGAACAATAGGGCAAAAGTCCTTGAGTAATAGTAGGATGAAGCTTGCTCTGCATGATCAGTAATTTATGGATATATAATGCTTCCTACCTTAGGGCTTTTTCTAACTGCCCCCTCATACATTTTTGTGTGTGTGAAATTCCCATGAGGCAGTATTGGGTAGTGGGGGGTCTTTGTGACCTTGGTCAGGTTTCTTAACCTCTCTGTAGTCTGGTGTTGTTACTGGAGATAATAATAGAACCTATTTAATCACTTTTGTGAGGATCCAATGATTTAAATTATACATATGGCTCAGAACAGTCTTCAGCTTATGGTATACATTCAATAATTGTTATCTATTGTCAGGCAGAGCTATAAAGCTAAAATATTTCAATTAGCACTCCTGTGTGGACACCTTATACATCAATCTATCTAAAACCTGCCAAAGTACCTTTCCACAAAGATTTCTATCACTGTTAAATTGAATGGAGACTACTGCTCTAAAGAAAATGCATCAAAGTTAAAAAAAAAAAAAATCCTCCCCCTACTACAGGTGTATATTGACCTTGTGATACTGATGTACTTAGCTCCTGCATCATTTCTTCTTAAGGGGGTGCCATGCTTTCTCCTGTAATCTACTTGACATTTCTACCCTAAATGGCCCAATGGAAAAATCATGTGGAAATAGAAACTTGAAGTCCAATTTCAAGACACATGCGCACATGTAATAATCAGTGATTTTTTTTTTTAATTCTCCCCCAAATCTAGAATGAGTTGGAAGGATTTTTCACAGAGGGTGATGGAGTTACATCGGAACCCCTTGCTGGATTCTTCAGTGCTCTGGTGTGACGTTGTCCTGGCTGAAGCTGAACCTCTGGCCTTGCTCACAGGGAAATGGGGAAGGTGGTGAGTCCTCCTTATGGATGCGTACGTGGCCATGTTTACCTTTTGATCTAGCACCCCGATATTACTGTCAACATCTCTGCCTCTGCTCCCCACCTCATTATTTGTTTGACTCTGTTGATATTCATGAAATCTTTTCTTTCGTGAGAAGGGCAAGAGGACATTTGAGTTGGGGTAACCCAAGACAATGGAGAGAATGGGAGCTTCCATTTCCACTCTGCCCTAAGGAATGGATTTGAGTTCTCATGAGATACTAGCCACCTTTGTTGCAGGAAGCAGGATGCACCTCACATGGACAAACTGGAGAGGCGTGAATAAACGTACTCCTTCCAGAGATGTGAGCAGAAATGAAGAAGCCAATAATGGATACTGATGAAAGCAGACTAGCAACACCACATGCACCACAGGCATGAAGGAACAAAGGGAAGAAAGGACCTTAGTGGAACCCGGGGACAGTGGGGCCACTCAGCAGGAGCTGTAGCCTAGAAGGTCTGCAGGCCATACTGGAATTGTGAAGACAAAGCAAGGAAGGGGTAGAAAATAAATGCCTCATCCTCACTCCTCCCTCTGGATGGACTCTCCTACTGGTAAGTCCCAGTGGTCAAATCCAACCAGGAGCCCACTATGATCAGGGCCAGCCTCCCAGTGCTCAGAGAAGGGCAAAGAAGAGAAGAACAGCAAATAAAACAACATACAGGGTTAGAGAAGGAGAAGAAACATATAGGAATGTCTGTCCAGAGACTTAAGAGATTCCAGACATGTTAGCCTGAGCTAACAGAAATATGAAAGACAGTTTGTGAGACTCTGGGCCTAGGCAGAACTGCTTTGTGGGTCAGCCAAGGAAGCGTAGCTGGATTTGGAGAGAAGACCATTCGTTCCGTCCAGCCTTGGAGTCCAGCAGAGCTCTTGCGTTTCAAGGACCGTAAATGCTGGAGGCATCAGAGAATCTGGGGCACGGACATTAGAGATCTTGTGCCACTCTGTGGGAAGAAGATTTTGCCAACCAGGGGCGTGTGGTGGCTGCAGCTGATGGTCCCGTGTCTGGACTCACAAGAGGAAGGCTTCCTGGCCCTCAGCTCGGGGGACTGGAGCAATCATAAGTCGCTTAATAAAAACATACGTAGTATTTT